ACCTCCGTTTGTAGGACACAAATAAAGAGCAGTTATCTTTCAGATTCTTTGTTTTTACTAAACAAACGATCCACCCACACACAAACGCTCAGTGGGAAAAGAAGGGACCATGGAAGGGCAGACCGTCAGAGCTGTGCATAGGTCCAGCTATCATTTTGAAAACTGTCTGAGGGGGTGGAATGAATGGAAAATGGAGAAATTCCAGAAAGCATAAGGGAATGCATGGGTGGAGTTGAGAGAGGCATGGAAAACCGTTCTGAATGTGCTGCAGGGGAAGGGAGGCACGCATCTGTTGTGACTGCAGTGTTATGAGAAACTTAAGCATCTCTATTTGCTCCTCCATTACTTTTATCATCTGCTTAGTAGCATCCAAGAAAAAGTCCTGATTTTCTTTTCTGTCCTGCCGTTCAATTTCTCTCCACTCCCTGCATTCCCTTTTTACTGCATCGGAGTATTGCAGGACGTCCTGGAACATGTCCTCCTTGCTCCATCTTAGCCACTTTCTTATCTGGCAGAAGCGCTCCACTGGTGTGTAGGGGGCTCCCCTGAAGGCCATATCTGCAGAAGCACAAGAAACAATACACAGAAGCATGATTGTTAGTTCATGCACAACATTGAATCATTGCAGTTTAGCACACCCCTTGTAACATACCAAGCACTTTCTCACTGCACTTGGCAAGCACATATCTCGGCGAACACGCCAGGCATGGTGAGATTAGCCCAACGGGGGAGGGGCATTCTACCTGGGGTAAACAGCAATGGTGCTTATGAAAGGGTCGTGGTGCAGTGACTAGGGACAATATTGTAAATGCTCCAACACTTTTCCCCGGGCAGGGGTCATTGAAGCAGATATCTCACTCCTGAGGGTAACCAAGGAAGCAAGGCTGCAACTGCTGCATGCTTGCAGCTTCCGACTGGTCCCTATGCTGCTCGCCTGTGTGCAGCTTTGGTTTGCACAAGTAATTGCCAAGTTGCGCGGGAAAGTTTCATGCAATGGAGGAAGAAACAAAGCAGCTCTGCCAAGGAACCTCCAGCAGAGGACTACCAAGTACCTCCAGGAAAGTTTCCTAGAGATCTCTCTGGAGGATTCCTGTGAAATCTCAGTGTGCATCAACACACTGTTCCACTGCACTGCTTAGAGGCACAGGAAAATGTCCAGCACACAGAAACACAGCCAGCCTTGTACATTTCTATCCTTTCACCTACTTCTGCAGTACACAAAGCAAATGAAAGCTGAACATCATGAGCACCATCAACTCAAAAAAAACACTTACCAAGGGTCTCCTCTCCTGCTTCTTGCTCACCAGAGTGGGAGTGCCAGGACTGGCTAAACCTTTCCGGAGTGGAGAACAGTTCCTGACTGGCCAGCCCACCTAGTGAACCCGCCGTGGGAGCCACATAATTCCCTAACTCCACCTCCTCGTCCATGACTTCATCCTCGGAGTTAGGTCCACTTTCTGCCACCTCCAGCCCCGCCAAAGCATCCATGGGGCTCTTGGCAGTGGAGGTGGGGTCATCACCAAGGATAGCGTCCAACTCCTTACAGAATAGGCAGAAGGCCTTCAGGACAGCACCAGAGCGTCAGTTTGCCTTCCTTGCTTTCTGGTATGCCGGCCTCAGCTCCTTTATCTTTGTTCTGCATTGCTCTGTGTCCTGACTGTGTCCCTTTTCACACAAGCCCTGAGAAATCTACCCATAGGTATCAAACTTCCTATGGAGCGCAGCTGCAACTGCATAGCCTCCTCTCCCCAAATACTGAGCAGATCCAAGAGCTCTGCACTGGTCCAAGCGGGAGACAGACCTGGTTTGCAGCGTGGAGCCACCATGGTCAGCTGGGAAGAGGCGATGTGAGCTCTCCACGCTGACCAAACAAGAAGTGGAATTTTAAAAATTTGTGTGGCTTTAAATGGGGAGGGGTGGATGGTTGTTTGTGGCTGCAGGGCAGCAGAGTTCGAATTGCTGATCAGAGCTGTCAGGATGGGCATTGTGGGACACCTCCTGGAGGCCAATTAAAGCAATCAAATCAAGCGCGGTATCTACACTGGCACTTCGCTGCTAAAAACCCTGTGTCTCTCGTCGAGATGGCTTTATTTTGTCGCCAAAACTGAAGAGTTTTGTCACCAAAAGTGGCATTGCAGTGTGCACACCTCCACCATTTTGCTGCCAAAAGCTGCCTTTTGCCGACAAAACTGTAGTGTAGACAAGGCCTTAGTTTTCCAAGACTGGGGTTTTCTTTTTAGTTTCAAGTTAACTGAAGTCTAATGGTCCACCGTTGTCTTTTCTTGGCTGGACAACGGGGGGTACCTGAAGTGAGGCCTTGCCTACACTACACAATTCTGTTGGCAGAAGGCAGCGTTTGCTGACAAAACAGTGGAGGTGTGGTGTACACACTACTCTTGGTGGCAAAACTCTGCCGTTTTGCCGACAAACTAAAACCACCTCGACAAGAGGCATAGAGCTTTTTGCAGCAAAATTAAAGTGACAAAGCATCAGCGTAGATGCTGCCATTCGTTATGTCGACATAACTGGCCTCCCCCAGTATCCCACAGTGCCCACTGTGACCGCTCTGCTCACTGTTTTGAACTTGGCTGCCCTGTATCTAGCTATGCCTGCAAGCGCCCCTCCCCTTGCAAAGCTCCGGGAAGCTCTGACATTCCTCAGGGGTGAGAGTGGAGGCTGTGGGAGAACCTGGAGGGAATCACAGAGCCATTAATGTGGAATCGGCAGGCAGGCAGAGTGGGCTGCTGCCGTGGGGGGAAGAGACTGTTGTGCTGTGCAGAGCCAGGGGCTGGTGTCCCTCTTCCCCCAGGACTGGTTGCTCAGGCTGCTGTCTGAACTTAGAGAAAGCCTTCCGACACACTGTCCTTCAACACACACACTTCCCCAACATACACTGTCTCTCTCTCTCTCACATATTTCTTCCCCCTCACACACACACACACACACACACACGTGTTGTTTCTGTCACTCCTCTCTCTCTCACACACACACTCCCTGTCACAGACTCACCCCCTCCTCTCTCCACCACACACTTCAGTTGAAAAGCAGCTGGCAATCTAGTTGGATGCCCCTGGAAGGATGGGATTGAGAAATCTGCATCATGTGACACTGTACCTGCCCCATGAGGCATTGCAAACCTCTCCCAAAGTACCCTGCAGCCAGTTGCACAACGGGATAGCTACCCACAGTGCACTGCTCTCTGTGGCAATGCAAGAGGTGCGAGTGTGGACGTGCTCTGCCGACAAAAGGAGCACAGTGTGGACATGCAGCAGCGGTTTAATTAAAGCGGTATAACTTTTATCGACAAAACTCTGTAGTGTAGACAAGGCCTCAGTTTCATGTGAACAGCTAGCTAGGGAGGATCCACTCCCTGCTGGGAGGCATACTTGGCGTTGCAGTGCCGGCCATGAGCATACTATTCTAAATACATAAATTATATGTATATAGAATAGTAAATTCTGTATATAGAACCCCAGGCTGTGTACAAGTCTCATAGTGATCATCAAGTTCAGACCATTTCATAAAAGACTTTACTCGATACGCTTTTATAGTTGCATAAAATCAGTAGATTCAACGTCTTATTCTTTGGGGTTCAGACCCTGTTCTCCCCTTGGGGTGTCAGGACCCTGATTGTCACATGCAGTTACTGGAGTTCTTTGAGATGTTCTCTCTCTGAGTGCTCCTTCCCCTCTACTTTGGAGTCCTTGCCTCTGGCCAGGTTTCGTGGGTGAGAAGGAACTGGAGCAGCGGAGGGGCTGTCCTTCCCGTACGCCCTCAGATTGGGGCACTAGGGTATATACAGTGTAGGCACGGACCCCGCACACTGCTACCACAAATCTCCTATTGAAAGCGCACAGGTGCACGCACACCTAAAGGGAAGTGCCCGTAGAGAGGGAACTTCTCAAAGAACTCCAGTTACTATACACGTAAGTAACCTCTCCTTATGTTACAGCCAAGATCCAACTGAGATCAGGACCCCTTTGTGCTAGGCACTGTACGTATTTAACCCACTGGTGAGTGTGTGTTGTAGGGTGTCGTCTGTGCCAATTCTCAGAGGATATGAGTTGTTACTGCCTCCAGATGCAGAGGGGCTTTAGTAGCTTTTAGCGATGGGGGTCCCTTGCCCTCATGTGCCAGCAATGCCTCTTAGCCATGTGCATTGACCAAAACGGACAGTCTCTACGCAAAAGAATAAATGGACACAAATCAGACATCAGGAATGGTAACATTCAAAAACCAGCAGGAGAACACTTCAGTCTCCCTGGACACTCAATAACAGACTTAAAAGTCGCAATTCTTCAACAAAAAAACTTCAAAAACAGAATCCAACAAGAAACTGCAGAACTGGAATTAATGTTCAAACTGGACACCATTAAATTAGGCCAAAATAAAGACTGGGAGTAGCTGGGTCACTACAAAAACTAATTTCTGCCTGCTGATACTCACACCTTCTTGTCAACTGTTTGAAATGGGCCACCTTGATTACATAGGCCTTATTAGCACTACAAAAATGATTTCCCCTCCTTGTCAACTGTTGAAAAAAGCCCACTTCCACCTTAACTGAATTGGCTTGTTAGCACTGACCCCCCCCCCCCCACGTGGTAAGGCAACTCCCATCTTTTCATGTGCTGTGTATTTATACCTGCCTCTGCATTTTCCACTCCATGCATCTGATGAAGTGGGTTTTAACCCACAAAAGCTTATGCCCAAATAAATTTGTTAATCTCTAAGGTGCCACAAGGACTCCTCATTGTTTTTGCTAGTACATACATTGTAAGGGATAGTCCCTGCCTTGACAAATTTACAGTCTAAATAGACAAGACAGACGAAGTTTACTTAAGTGACCTTCTGTCTTCAGTTAGAACCTTCATCAACCAGTTGATTCCTCCTTTCCTCATGTCCTTTTTATGACAGGGAAAAAATAGCCCAAACCTGAGAGTGGCCTAAAGAAAGTGTCTTTCCACCCCATCTGATTTTTTCATGTTGCTTTTTAATTGCAGGTGTGATTAAGCCCACGCAGTATAAACCAGTTCCCGATGAAGAACCCAATTCAACAGATGTAGAAGAAACTTTGGAACGAGTAAAGAACAATGACCCTAAACTCGAGGAAGTCAACCTTAATAATATTAGGGTATTCAGCCTCCCCTTCCTATGACAATTAACACTTCACAGTGAGACAGGATGTGTGCTATCTAGAGGACAAAGGCCAAGCACACCGTGCTGTGCAGGAGAATAGGTTATTGTCACAGCAGGCTGTGTTGGCCATTATTGGCAAAAGGACAAGTTATGGTTAGGGCTAGATTCTGAATTCCTTGCTTATGTAGAAATCAACAGGGCTGCTTGCAGAATAAGGCACCGCTCAACAGAAGTTAGGCATCGGAATCTGGCCTTGACTAGTTTTAGGATGTTTTTGAGGGGATTTCACAGTATGTCATTAGAGCCTACCTACAGTCAGAAAAAAGTGCTTTGGGTTTGCATTGTATTTACAGGGAATCCTAATTGTGCATGTAGCTAGATGTCATGTACAAACACACTGCAAGACTGGCAGAGCAAGGATCTTTCAAAATAATACACACTGAGTCCCTAGGTCAATGTTAGCTGCTTCACTGCAGGAATTTCTTAGTGAAACCCTTGCAGAAAAATTACACAGATGTAACACTAAGGCTGGTAATTTAATTACACAAAAGACAGTGTTTCGCATTGCCCTCTTGTGCTAATGATACTGTATTATCTGCCAAAGGCTGTGTGGCACTGAACAGCGTGGCATGGCTTGCAATGAACGGGCTCGTATAGGTATCTGTGCATGGCCGTGACGCTAAAGCTGCTGTGAGAAACCACCATTCCGCATTCCCTGACCTGGCTGATTAAAATCTAGGCTTTTCTCTGGGCTTTTCTAGCTAAAGGTGACATGCAAAGGACAAGCAAATGTGCTTGTACGCTCTTCTGTTTCCCTTAAACCTGCTAAAGGAGAGGGTAAGGCGTTCTAGTCAGGCTGTTAAAAACTTGGTTTCTGTTAACTTCTCTTTAACTCCTGTTGTGGGCAACATGCCTTCATTGCTGTTTTCTTTTGGGGGCTGGGAAAGCGCCCGTGACTGTTTTCTAGTCCAGTCCAACCGTGGAGGGTAAAACCAAATACTCAAGTTAAAACAGGCAGAACTTCCCTCTTCCCTCCCAGCTGTTTCTTTTCCCCACAGACCTCCCATAAAGAAGCAACTCAGGGCACATGCACAGCTTGGCAGGTCACCTTTTAAATGCGCACACGGTACCGAATGCACACACGCCAGCTGCATGATGATGGCTCCTGCGCCTGCCTGCGCCCTCTGTGTGCGTTGGAGGGTGTTGTGTCCAGATACATGCAGATGAGGTTCCTGTGTGTGCAGTTAGTGCTGGTGCCGTTAACTCCATGTGCACAGTCCTTAAACCCTGGCACCTGTGCACAGCCAGCCAGCTGCAACTGTCCATAGATAAGGTACTGCATTTTCAGAAGTGACTTGTGACGTGGGGTGCAACTTGAGACCCCTGGAGAGGAGCCTGACTCACAGGTGGCAGGGGCTCAGCACCTGTGAAAACCTCGAGGTGTCTCTAGTTGGACTAAAGATTTGGCATGCCACTTTTGAAAACATGGGCCAAAGATACGACTGCATTATTCACAGATGGGCTTACGGGTAGTGGTGGTAAGGCCATATCATGCCAGCTGATCCCAGGGAAGCACTCCTCGTTGAGGACTATGGAAATAGTCAGTTTGAAATTTTACGAGTCCCTTGGAAGTTATCAGAGTCTGAAAAGAGTTTGTCAAGTATTGAACAGGAAAGAAATACTCTTGGCTGGTGAGAGCTCAGAACAGGCACACAGATGTTTGTCAAACTCTCCTAGTTCTCCCCCAAAAGTTACCAGTGACGGAGGGAGAGAGAAGAGTGGGCCTGATTCTGAGAGTTGAGGATGAGCTGCTTAGCTGTCAGGGTCAGGCTGTGATCCTGCAAGTGGATCCTTGCAGGCATAAGCGCCATGCAGGCCTGCTCGCTAGATCAAGGCCTGAGGAGGGCAATTATTTCCCAGCCATGACTTGGCTGTGGCTGGTGCAGTGATATAGCACTGTTAGAACTTGTGTACGCCCAGGGCTTTACCTACTCAAAGCACTCTGTAAACCTCAGCTACGTAAAGCCCCACACTGCCCAGGGAGGTGAGCAGGTGAGTACTGGCCCCATCTGCCAAGTGGGGAGCCCAAAATGCGCTGAGGTGACTTGCCCAAATCCAGGCAGCGAGTGAGGGGCAGCGCTGGGATCAGAGTGGAGGCATTCCCGTGCTGCTTGGGCCATGCTGACCATTTCAAGCACTACTGTACAATCTAGGTTCAGCTTTCTGTCCCCTCCTGAATACCCAGTTGTGCCATTTCCACTGTACAGAAAGCTGCTTGTATTTCGTACACACAGTGCATGCTCCTTTATACAATATTTTTTTAAGGAGTGTACCAGGAATCTGGATAAGGATGACTGACTAATGCACCTTTCCGGGCCTTCTTTTTGCAGAATATTCCCATACCAACTTTAAAAGCATACGCTGAAGCACTGAAGAATAATTCCTATGTAAAGAAGTTAAGCATAGTAGGAACAAGAAGCAATGACCCGGTAGCCTATGTAAGTACCATACCATGCTGTGTGTGATGACAGGCTAATGGCTGGGGGACGGTTGTTAGTGGAATTGTTTTCTTGCGAGAGTGATTGTTTAAAGCAACCTGAAAAGGGGAAAAAATTGTGGTGCCCTTTTTTGTACTTTTATATTGTATGAAAAATGCCAGAGATGGGAAACTGAGGCATGGAGAGACTAAGTGACTTGCCCAAGGTGTCACAGGCAGTCTGTGGAGAAGCAAGGGCTTGAACTCAGGTCTCCAGCATCCCAGGCGAGTGCACTGGGCCGCTCTTCCTATTATTTATTATTCAATTCTAACACTCTCCCCTTCGTGACTGCAGGCACTGGCAGAAATGTTAAAAGCCAATGGTGTATTGAAGAGCTTGAATGTGGAATCCAACTTCATTTCTGGGTCCGGGATCCTGGCTCTGATCGAAGCACTCCAGCACAATACTTCACTGATCGAGCTCAAAATTGACAACCAGGTAAAACAAATCCCAACTTGACCTCTTAGATTGAATAAAAATGGTTTTGTTGGGAGGCCTTGTATCAGGAAACGTGGGGTTTGGCTCACCTGATATTTTCTGGACAATCACTCTAAAAAAAAACCAACTGGTGGGGGGGATAGGGAGAAGTCTGTGTAGTGGGCTTGACAAGTGGCTAGCCCACATAGAGGATTACTGCCAGCCAATGGAGTAACTCCCTTAGGCCGAGCGGTAGAGCACTGTGCTGAAGGTTCTGGGTCCATACCCTGCTGATTGCCTGTGGTTTTGGGCCTTGTGTACATAGTCAAAACTACACCAGGTTTCTCTGATGATTCAGTATTAGTCAGCCAACAAATGACAAGATAATTTAGGGCCTGATCTTTCAAGCTGCCCATTTGCATGGAGCACTTGATGGACTGGACCCTCCATAAATGGAAACAAAATCCTGCAGGCTTCATCCAGTGCCCTTGTGCCATCATTTATAATCCTCTGCGGAGAGCCTTTTGGAGAACTAGGCTCCTAGCTTTTTTCTGAAGAAAGCAGGTTGGGACTTTTTTACAGCAATAAAACAGATGTTTGAAAAGCTGGAAAGCCCAGGATCCAAACACTGGAGATCCGTGGGCATGCCAAGGTGAGCGATGGACCCAGATTCGGTAGCTCGCCCCGATCTCCGCTGAGTTTGCTGTCTCCAGAAGGCTGGGCAGTGGTGGGGGAAGGCCTGTGCAATGTTTGCTGGTACTGATGAGATGTACTGTGGAGTCAGCAGGAGGCAGTCCAGGGATCAAAGACCAAAATAACAGGGCAGCCCTCAGTTGTAACCTGCTTTTCCATTATCTTTTAATAAAGAGCCAGCCGCTGGGCAACAAGGTGGAAATGGAGATTGCAAACATGTTAGAAAAAAATAGCTCCCTTTTGAAGTTCGGGTATCACTTTACACAGCAAGGTCCCCGGCTTCGTGCATCTAACGCCATGATGAACAACAACGACCTGGGTGAGTCTGCCTACACGCCTGCTTGCATGCATTCTTCCATGCTCCCCATAGTCCATGGTGCTGGCGCTCCCCTGCGGTGTGCTTGTCAGGAATTCCCATCAGCTGTGAATGTAGCGGGTGCGTATTTCCTCTCCTGCTCTCTGGCGGGCACATTGACCGAGACTCTATGTAAATACATCTCAAGGAAATAAACAATTCAGGAGAAATTTCACTTGAATTAGGAAAGCACCCGTTTGAATCGGAAGGGGCTGGTGCTTGCTAGGGAGAACCTGATTCTCTTCCTGCTTTCTCCTGCTGAGAGGTACCGGACTCCACCAGCAGTTCCATTCAGTCATTGGGGCTGGCGGTGGAGTAAAGCGCTACTCAGTGTGAGTAAGACAATCGGCTTCTGGCCCAGAGTAAGATGCTGTGCAGGGCAAGGGTGGCAGAATCTGGCCTTAACCAAACAGGGTCTCCCGTGATACTCAGAGGCAGTGAGCACTAGTGCTGGGGAGTTTGGCATTTCCATGTCCTTTGTTAAGCCGTAGTTGGCAGAGTTAGTGCTGGGAAGCCCGGGCTGCTGCTGGCATGAACTGGATCAGCAGAGCCCTTCGCTTTCCTGGGCTGCCGCCCTTTCACAGACACTGCTTCCATCCCCGCTTTAATGGAGAAAGGACAAGCAGAAGAGTCAAGCTCTGAAGACTGACAAGTTTGGCCCCTGCCTTTGAACAAATCAGGTCTGTTGTTAGTTGTGTTCAGGGGTACAAGGCTAAATTCTGTTCCCAGTTCTATCTGGGCGCCCCAACTGAAGTTAACAGAGCTGCGTGCGATGACAGTACTTCTCACTGATAGGTGCGGTGCTGTAGGCATTCGCTGACGGACGGTTGCTTGGCGACAGCCTCACATGCTGCACTGGAAGACTACCCAGTGGAGCCTGTTGGGACCTGAGAACAGACCTAATTTCCAGAGATCTTACCCGTGGAGGAAATTAACATATAGCTCCCTAGACAGACTGGCTAAGAGGAAGTGCCTGGTGAAAGATTTGCCATATAAATGTCTGCCCTGAATATCCAGCAATAATCTGGAGCCGTATATTTTGCTCTTAACATGGTTTTCCAGCACAGTCTAACCATTTTGTGTCCTTTATGACATGAGTCTACTTCAATTTAAAAAGCTATTGAATTAGCGTACCTCTAAATGAGACTAAGGAACTGCTGTGCTGAAAAGCACTGACTTATGACTTGGTGCTCTCTGTTCCATGCAGATGTCTGTGTATTACTGTGTGTGCGCGCGTGTTCAACCTGTTGAGGTTTTTAAACCAATGGACTGGATTTTGTCTCCAGCTAGTCTGCTGTTCTCATGGCAGTGTAATAATACATTGCATTTACACAGAATACTCCTGGGGGGGATTCTGCACCAAAGAAATGAAAATTCAGCGCACAATATTTTAAAATTCTGTAAAAATTTTGCGTATTTTATTTGTCAAAATAACCCAGTATAATCACACCAGTTTCAATTATTTTGGTAATTTATTTCAAAATATGTCAGCAATTATGTCTGTGACAATACAGACAACAAAAAAGATTGAGGAAATGTTTTTTTGACAAATAGATTCCTTACGAGGCATATTAATACAGAACTCTGAGTAATAATTCATTTAAACTTTGGGTTTCCCACTCGTCAGATGGGGCCAATACTCACCTGCTCACCTCCCTGGGCAGTGTGGGGCTTTATGTAGCTGAGGTTTACAGAGTGCTTTGAGTAGGTAAAGCACTGGGTGTATACAAGTTCTAATATATCTATATATATCTAATATATCACTGCACCAGCCACAGCCAAGTCATGGCTAGGAAATAAATGCCCTCCTCAGGCCTGGATTAATCTAAATGCATTTCCTGCAGCCCTTAGAAGCAATGTAAAGGTTTGTGGGAGTCAGGGGTAATGGAGGAGCTGAGGGACAGGGAAGTAATTGCAAGGAAGGAGCCTGGGAGTGAGCCTGGAGGGTTCTTGGGTGTGGGTGGGAGAAGTATGGAACAGGTTATTTTGCGGGGCAGGGAGGGATTGTTAGGGAGCCTCCCCCATGCAGACCCTGGCTGACCCCTAGCTTCTCCCATTCAGTCAGGTTCATCTGCCCCTGTCCCCATGTGTCCCTGAACCCTCCCATCCCTACGTATCCTTGCACACCCACTCAGGCACCCCTCCTCCCCCCAACCCCATGTGTCCTTGCACCCTCCTACCCTATCCCCATCTGTCCCTGCACCCCTTCGCCCCATCCCCATGTGTTCCTGCACCCCCACTCCCATTCAGCTCCCGCCCCAGTCTGTCCCCACCACTAGCCCTTCTGAATCCCAGTCTGTGACCTCTCCAAACAGCTCCACACTGTCCCCCCCAAATGCCATGCCTTCTGACCTGGCCCCACGAGCAGAGCGCTGTGAGGAAGGCAGTCTTTTCTCTTCCCTATCCGCAGCTGGGGCTGGCCCGGGAGTGGCTGCTCTCTGTTCTGGCACCACAGCGGCCCATGGTGGGCAAAAGGCATAACGGCAGCACCTGTCCAGCAGAATGGATTTTCTGCAGAAAGAGAGCTCCGCATGGCACATGAATTATGTATGTGTGCAGTGGTGCAGAATTATGTATGTGTGCAGTGGTGCAGAATTTCCTCAGGAGCAACAGAACCTTACACCTCGGAGTGCTTCCAAATTGTGGCTCTGATTCTGCAGACACTTAAGCGTGTGCATACCTTTATACACACGAGGTGTCCTGTGGGACTACTTGCATGCATAAATGCACACACAATTCCCCAACACAACTAATTTCCCCCTTTGTGCATATGCATTTCACCTCAAATTAAGAGATTCTTGGCATGGCACAGTGCAAGGAGGATTTTCTCTGGAACTAGAAAATGGATAAAAGCCACAATTTCAACTAGAAAGTCACTGCTCACTGACTCTCGGATCAGAGTTGGTTTTCATGAACTTGGAATGTATGCGCGTCACCACGTTACTCATAAAAAAGGCATTACATTTAATTTGTCACTCCTGCTTCTTTTTGGTTGAGAAGTTGGTGACTTTACCTGTCATGCAGCTGTTGTATACTTTGCCTCCTTGATCATGAGAACTGTACAGAAGATATCTGATTTGGATCTTGTTTGCAGCTCGTATACGTCGCTCTGATGGCCCCTGGCATAACTTCTCAGCTCTGCAACTGGACGATGTATAAGTACAGACAGAATTTTTTCCCTACTGGCAATAGCTCTCTATCTGTGCTCCACGACTTGTGCTCTCAGCTGCCACCACCTGACTCAACTCAGACTTGGTTTTACTCTCTCTAGCTTCTGTTTTACTGCTCTTGGCTCAGCTGCAGGTGATACGTTGTATGATCTAGCATGTTAGATGGAAGGCTTTTTACATTCATCCTATGAGCTAATTTCTGCATTCTCCCTTTTCTGGCTGCTTTTTCTTTCCCTCTGTATTTATTTCAAATATATAAACTGTGTTATGTATCCAGTTTAAACACCTTCTCTGAAAATGCTCACTAAAGTGTGGAGGAGCAGAAAAACACAGCTCAGAGATTAATGAGGGAAAACCTGTTTTGGCAAGGGCACTTTTTCTGAGGTAGGAAGGCCTTTATTAAGCTATACAGAAGCAGTAAAAGATAAGGACTGGATAAGAAGCCATACTCTCCTTGCGCAGCTGCAGGCGTTCACCAGCTATTCTCTACCTGCCTCTTATATGCTGATCATTACCTGATGAGAAGCAATCAGGGAGAGATGTAATTGAGCTACCAAACTCTTGTTTAACAGAACCCTGTGAGCTCTGTCCCCATTTGAAGCTGATGACAGTTACTTCAATTTTTGAGCTCTTTTTTAAACGATGTAGATTTTTAAATTGATGTTAAAGACCCTGGTCTGTGTTCTCAAGGTCACACATCAACTTTAATAGAAGAGATGAGGCTAAATCCCCTGGACTGCTTTGAAAATCTCAACCCTGACTCAATGGATGGCAGCTGAAGCCAAATGCATTCAAATTAAAAATTAGGCACAAATTTTTAACGAGGGTGATTAACCACTGGAACAAGCACCCACGGGAAGTGGTGGATTTTCCATCTCTTGATGTCTTCTGATCAAGACTGGATGCCTTTCTGGAAGAGATGCTTTAGCGAAACACGCATTGTTGGGCTCAATGCGGGCGTAACTGGGTGAAATTCTCTTGCTTGTGCTATACAGGAGGTCAGGCTAGCTTATCTAGTTATCCCTTCTGGCCTTAAAATGTATGGAAAACCCCCCAAACTTTTCCCCTCACATGAGTTTTGTTCTGGTTTTAAACTATCTGTGGATATACCCGCTATCCGCGTGTGCAGCGTCTGCCTTGACTGACCCTTGTTCCTGTTCTTTTTCAGTGAGGAAGAGGAGACTTGCAGACTTGAATGGGCCTTTCTATCCCAAGTGCCGAACTGGGGTGTAGTTCCCGGCTGTGAGGCTTGCGCCTGGTGGTTTGTGCTATACCCTGGAAATCCGAAGGCAAAGTGCCTGCACAAAACGTCTGTGGTGCCTCAGTTCTGTGTTGCATAATTATGCACTAAAGGTTTAAATTAACTAGTGATTGTAGGTGACGATTTGATCAAATATGACTAATGATGTTTTCTTTAGTCAAGCTGAGTCAATCCAGTTACGAGTTGCCAATTTTAAGCAGTCTCGGTTTAGAATACATCACAGCACAAATGTGACTGTTAATTCACCTATGACTTAATTTCTCTTAGGATTTCCTGTGTGGTGTTTCAGATATATTTAGGATGTGTTATGCATGATTGGAAAAATTACTGCTCTACACAAGTTGCATAGGTATTTAAAAAAATATTTTTTCAACTTGCTTTCCTGTTTGACAAGCATTTCTACTCTCCCACCACATTGCTACTATCCCTTTTAAGGACTTGTAAATTACAATTAATTACCAACATTTGCTGACTTTATTTGCAGACAGGATGTCAAAACCACCCATATTTTTTCCCAAAAAGAATTCATGTCTTTTTTACTCCCCCGGCGCCCAAATGAAAAGAACGTAAGGCCACTGATTATAAAGTAATGGCTCCATAAAAACAGAGCAGTAGGTATTAGATGGGACGTTAAAATCTTCTTCTCTCCTTTCCCATGGATATGTAAAACCATTGCTTTAAGAGATTAGGAACGAAATCCTGACTTCACTGAAGTCAGGAGCAAACTCTCATCGATTTCCCCCTGAATTTTCTCTTGGAAATGTGCCCCATGTGCTTTTACTCAGTCTGGTAATGAGCGTGCTGGAGCCCTCACTTGTAATTCTGGTTTTCTGGCTGGATGACCATTTTATTTATCTGCAAAACTTCTTGTTCTGCTAGAAATTTTATTTTACCAACATCCTAAATTTCTGAGTAGGGCACCCTAATAAAGAAATTACTTGAAAATACCCTGCCTGGGAATCCATGTAGTCCAGGATGCCATTTGAGTAGAGTTGCATAAACACACCAGGCAATTGGGTTTGTGTGGTGATAAAAACCCACTGCCTTTCTAGGGAGGAATTTCCAGCAGCCACATGCAGCCTTTGATCATGCAGTGGGTTCCTCACCTGCAGGCCATTTATACCCACACCAACTCCCATTGACTCCAGTGGGAGCCTGGTCTGCACAGCGTGAAGTCTGCCCATGCAGAGCCATTGCCAGAGGGGGGCCTTTGTTTATACCCCTAAAGAATCCATCCGAGCAATCTTTTTCACGTAATAAACAACCTTCTGCCTGCTGCTGTTCCCAGTGGAGTTCTGCAGTCTGTGCATTGTGTAATACAGCAAAACTGCCACTAATTTCAACAGAATTTTTGCATGAATCCAGGATTCAGGCTTTGGCCCTGATTTGCTCTCTCTGAATATTACACTTTAACCTTGAGTGGGAAATACAAACACGTTTGATTGTTGTAATAAATGTGTCAGAAATGACAAATAAAAGGTGTCAGTGCAATTTTTTGTAAAATCCCATACAAAAGATTAGAAAATCCTGAAAAACCAGAAAGGGGCATGATTAGCATAATGCCAGATGGACAGCGCTATTCCCACCCGACACCTCCCAAAGGCTTTAGAAAAATCAATGAAAACATCCGTCCAGATTCCACTTGATAGCTAGCGGCAGAGTTGTCTGCTCAGATTTGCCCAGAACTAACTCAGCATCTGTGTCTGCTCTTCCACTGACTCAGAGGAATGGCAATTGTTCTCCCCCTGTTAAATGCTGCTTGCCCTGATGCCCATGGGGAACCTGGGTCTGTGGGGACAGTGCAGAATGCTCTGAAGGGGACCCTGATGTGAAGACCTGAGAGGATTTTACCCTACGTGAAAATAAAATAGTCCTTAAAAAAAGCAATAACCTTTCCCTTTTTCATGCTGTAGTAGCATCTAAACTCCCCTGGCAGTTGAAACATATTGTGGGATGACTCTGGGCATGTGTGTGAAAGTCACACTCATGCTGGTGAGCCCTCACTTGCTGCGTGGTGACTGTGCTGGGATTACATGGGTAAGTGAGCAAGCACTTACCAAGTAGAGCAAGGACTGGCACAGTTGCCTGGGGAGAAGCATCAGGCTCTGTACCAGCTGTCCTGTTGAGCTGTGATAATGATGAAGGGTCACGAGCTCTTGAGGAAAAGGGGATTCCCTCCCGACAGCGAGCACCATGCCTGCTAGTGCGCAGACTCTCCTGCGCGGAACTGCTGAGACATGGAACTAATGTACCGCCTCAGAGAAGTCACAGCAGTTGTGCTGAATGGCGAGTCGGCCTTTCAAGTTGTGTCAGAGTGGTTCTTGGGGCGTAGCTAACGAAGACCAGCACATGGCCAGACCCCAGGGGTTGCCTACTCACTAACCCTTAGAATATGGAGGCCATGGAGTGTACTTGCCTTCTATGCTGGAAATGAGTGAAATAGTCATGGGGGCAGCTGCCCCCTCTTACCTCCTGCTCCCTCCCCTTCCAGAACAGCAAACCACCCCAGTCTCCTGCTCCTCCTCCACAAAGCACTGGAACCACCTCACCCCCGGCATAAAGGAGCCTATTGCTTCTCCTGCCTTGTAGCGGGTCTGAGGCTACGTCCTACTCAGCACTGGTCCAGCCTCCTTAGCCACTGCCCGCCCGCCTGGCCATCCCACCCCTGGCATGGGTAATGGGGAGACTTTCTCAACACTAGGGGAGCAGGACCCAGTGGGGTTTGGGGGTAAAGCCCCTCCTAGGGGCCAGAAACTCTCTGTAGACCAGCACCTTGCTAGCAGGCTGCTTGCTTAGGAATGAGCTGAAACCCAGCTGCCACTCACTGGGGCACTAACAGGTTTCCAAAGGGTTAAGAGCAGCCCACGCCCTGATGAAGAGCGTTTATACAGCTCTGTGGCAGCATCAAGGATGACGTGTCACCCTGTCATATTTAGAAGTTCATGCTAACATGCAGTTGACACCGTTTCCCATTCTGTACTGAAAACGGACCTGGCCAGGGCCTTTCATGGGGGTTACAGGATGGTAATTTAGGCGGTAGGTTTGTCGGCTGGTTGGGGGTTTTAAAACATGACATCTGAAAAATACCACAGTGCAACAGACTCGTTGTGGGATCCTGTTCCCAACCACACCTACTGGCAGTGATGTAGGCTGGGAATGCAACATGTGCCTGATGGCAGGACGCTGCTTCTGGGCCAGCTTGCCAACGCAGCTGGGAAAGGTGCTGCAAGCAAAGAGGCATCGACCTAGTGCTAGGAACACCCGCTGCCTAGGGAAATAGGGGCCTCTTCCAAAGGCCATGTGTTGTCAGTGGGTGGCACTAGTCACATCAGGGGTTTGGGCTCAGCCCCTGCATTATCAGTATTACCTAATATCAGCTCTAGGGAAGGGTCCCACAGTTGACCTTAGAGCAGATCTGAAAGCCCAGCTTGGAGAACACAAAGCAGCACCCCAGCAGTTGTTGAACAGTCATGGGAACAATGTCAGAGAAGACAGGGAATTAATGCAACCAGTGTATTACATTAACGTCAAATCTAAATCTGTTGCAATGCCTTCCTCCCCATGCTTTGGAAAGGGACCATGGCTGTAACTGACAATAAGCAACTGTAGAAACTTGAGTGTGATGGGGCACCGCCCCCGCAGCGCAGATGTGGTCAAAGTGGCAAGAGAGGCCACTTAGCCTTAGGCTGCACCTGCTGGGGAGCTCCGGGGCAAGGCACCTGGTTGAGCGCACGGCTCACCTGGGTGGGAACAGGTGGGGCTGCTATAAAGCCACAGAGCTGAGGTAGGGGTTGCAAGGAGGTGAGTCTGCAGGCACACTCCCTGGTACACATGGGACAGTAGGAGCCTGACAAAGGCAGGCTTGGACACAGTCCAGGGAAGGAGGAGCAGTAAGGGGTGACAGGGACAGACCTGATGTGCTGGGTTGAGGGTCCCTGGGTTGGCGCCTGGTGTAGAGGGCAGGCCCGGCTTTCCCTGCCAGCCAGTGCGGGAGTGGTGCAGTCAGTGCAGTGGAGATGGACACTGCCTGAGACTTTGAGGAAGGGAGACTCTGATAATAGCCCAGAAGGGGAGGCCCCTGGGGCCTGGACCAGAGGGCTAAGCCATTAAGAAGCAGTGCCGCAGAGAGCGAAGGGCCACAGTGCAAGTGACAGGCAACACACTGAACGACCGCCGGATGGTGGCGAGCTAATTCCCCAGATGAGCCACGAGGAGGCGCTGCTGAGCAGCGAGTAGCAGACCCCATGATACTGAGAGAAGGGTTTTTTAAAAGCCATTGTCAGGACATAGCACTAAGTGACTTTACTGGTCATTAGTACGGACGGGGGGATATATTTCAAAGGGGATTTTCTTCACTAGTGACAAGTCTTCCAAACGATTAATAAAATCTCTTTACAAACTTGGCATTGTCAGTGCTTGACAAGCCTGGCTCAAGAGAAGGCCATCTGGTGAGCCTGGCCCTGGCCCAGTGACTTTAGTCAGGGCATCAAGTGATGGGACAAATTCCAGTTCTAGTTCCGTAGGTTCCTGAAGGCCTCTTATGCCTTTAACAAGGGCTGAGAGTCAAGTCTGACATCCCACAGCAGCAGAGCGACACAGGTCCATGCCGGTAAGTGTAACAGTACCACTCTGGGTCCGTGGAGATGCATTACATGGATCTCATGTGTCCATTGTGTGCAATCACGCGGGGACTCCACACATCACCACTCCTACTCCAATGATGCTCATTAATATTTACATCATGTCCCGTGCTTTCCTCAGCAAATGGCTGCATTTCAATGCATTTCAGAACCCCGCCGGTGTTCTGCAGCACACATAGCACAATGCAAGTCCTGGGCTAAGGGCTGTATCTTGAACATTTAAAAACTCAGTCACATGAATTCCCTTCTGCATGGTAACACCTGGGCACTGACTGCCACGAGAGAGGGGCAGTGAGTGGGTTATACATCTCCCTCTTCCCACACAACATGCCCCGCCAGATGAACTTGACTGAGGTTGTACATGGCCATTGAGTGTCGCCAGCTTTCGCTGGGATGAAGTCGTGGGTCCAGGTTCTAGTCTCACACCTGCTGGCTGCTAGTGTAAACCCAGGGACTTGTGTAGCTAGCCTGACTTACACTGGTGTAAGGGAGAGAAGACTCAGGCTGCTGGTGTTTATGTGGAAAATAGCCTCAACCACAGTCTGTTTGTGTTCCCAGTGATTAAAAGCCTGTTGCTTCCATCTCCCTAATCCGTGCAGAGTGTGGGGGGAGGGCCCAGGACACACACATGGCTCAGTGATGGTGGCAAAGACAGCATAGACCTTGCTTGTTCCTTCACCTTCTGGCTCCTGTTTGGTTGTGAGTGGCTGAATCCCACGGCATGTACTGTACTCATAAAGTTCTCCCTGGCGCCCATCACATTGTGGGAGGCAGAGCAGTAACTTCAGTGCAGCGGCAGGAATCCTGTAGCACCACTGCTGTTTGACGCTCCATTAATTTATACTTGGCCAGGGGGTAGTTCATGGTGCAATCAAGCGCTAAAGAGACACTGGGGCTGAGCGTTTCAAAGCCACTTCAGGGGTCTCAATGTACAAATCCAATGAAAATAACTGGGAAGCAGGCACCCAAATTTGGAAGCCCCATACCCTAGAACGCGAGTGTATATTATGGAGTGTCTCATGTTTTCCTGTGCTTCTCTTACATGTGTTTGACTGGGACCCGCTGCCGTCTGTCCGTGCATTCACATTCCTCCTTGACCATCCATCCAGAAGGGTTTGAAGACAGCTTGAGTCCTTTCTCCTGACAAACGGGACAGCAAGCCGTGAATCCCTTCACTCGACAGCTTGGGCAGGTCAGGACAAGCTGCCGGCAGTGCAGGCTGGAGCACAATTTGTACTGATCCCAGAGCGTCCCGCAGTACCTGCATTCTGGGGAGAGGAGAAGTGGAGTTAAAACCCATCCTGCCCTGCCTATCACACTTGCACTGGGGGCACTGTGGTCTCCTGCTAGGCAATCCTTTGCCACAGGGCTCTGCCTTAAGAATGTCCGGCAGTATGGTCTGAATGGGCTGCCAAAATTCATTCAAATGGTGACCCTTCATCTTCCAGGGTATTGCATTCACGCTCTGGCCCTGCTTCCCTGCCCTTCCTCGCCAGAACGAGAGCTAGCCCCTGCCCACAAAAGGGGCTTTTTATTTTGATTTCGATGTTAACAAACTTAGGACAAACTCCTTCCTGCCATCCAGGCCCCATGCGCAGGAGCTGGCTGTCCCTAGGCAGTAGCCCATGCCTCCTTGTGGCTATCGTGTACAAACAGGAATGGTAGTGCTGCATTTGGAATCTGCTCCCAGGCTTGGGGGGACAGAGTCCTAGAGGCTACACATCCCTAAACAACCCAGAGCACTTGTCCTTTACTGAGCAGCTTTCCTCCCGACTCAGCTGCACTGCTGGGAGCTAACCCTGACTAGTCTAGCGTGTAGCTGTTTGCTGAGCCATGCTACTTCCCCTTCAGTCCCTCTTGAGCATGGCCAGGGCTTCAGAAGGACATTTTATTCCCAGCACAAAGCCTGCCACCTTCAAGATGGATAAACTTATGGCAAATGAATAAGTCGAGTCAGCTGCTATTGAGCTCACAGTGATTATCCATCTAGAGACAGCAGCACCATCCTCAGAGCACTCACTGACTCCACTTCAGATGCAGCAGACAAGCCACAGGCAAGCTTAGCCCAAGTCCTTTGTTGGTCACTTCTCACCAGCAATGTCATTTCAAGCTGGAGCTGAACAGCTGAAGAGCAACACCAGCTGGAAAGCCAGGGAGTGTTCACTCATCTTCAGCTTTTACTAGAGTGAAATACAATTCTCTGGGCTGTGTAAGCCTTGAAAGCTAGAAACAGCCGAGCACCCCATGGGCTGTTGCTACCAGGTTTTCTTCCATAGTGTGGCAGCCTAAGGTTAGTGGAGCCAGCTCTGTGTGGTGGTAGAAGAGTCAATGGCTGGCTCAGAACGGTTTGATCAGTGTAAAGGGGTGACAAAACCAGTACTGAGGGTAGAAGTGCTAGCGACCTACATTACAATCTGCTCCTCCCCAGTGGGACAGTGTGCTGTGCTGTCCACGACGTCACAGAAACATTATCTCACGGCCCTCTGCCCTGCCAGTCCTGAGTGCAGACAACCTCCCCTCTCACTCCTGATCACAGAGCGTCCCTGTGCCACTGACTGTCAAAAAAGCCGTATTAGGAAAGCATTCCTTAGATTTTTAGCTGTCTTTAAAGCAATTCAGTAGCTGGAAACAAGGCAGCAAGGCAGCACCCCTGAGCCCAACCTGCTCTCTGCTGTAGGTGCTCCCCAGACTACAGTGTGCGAGCCTCTGTCCTAGAGGGCTCTGTGGTGACTATTACAGCTCTTGTTCTGTGATCTGAGATGTGATGGCCCTACCTGCAATGACATCTTCATTGGAAGAGATGGTGTAACGTTCGTCAAACACAAACAGCTTCCCCCGGTAGAACCCATCGGGAAACTCCTCCAGGTACTTGTGGATGCCGCCCTTGAGCTGGTAAACCTCCCTGCATACAGCCTGTTTAAAACAAAGCACCAGAAAACCCAGCTTAGGCTGTCCCAGCCAGCTTGTGCCAGACTGCCCAATGCTCAAACAGGGAACTAGACCCCTTGGAAAAGGAGCAATATCCCAGTGACAGCCATAAGACACTATGCATGTGCCCACGGTCAGTCCCTACTGGGTATTACCGTGGCTGCCAATACTGCATAACGGCTGATTGACACGGAGCCAAAGGGTCACTGCTTTTGTGGTTCATGAATGGTGTTTGTGGTCTGGATTCTGAAAGAATCCAGATCAACTCCAGAGCCAAGAGGACGCTATCTTGAAGAACGGTCGCTGTATTATACAGTAAAAGCTCTTAAGGCCTGATTCACCCATTGCTTACACCAGTTTTACACCAGTGTAATTCTAGGGACTTCAGTGGAGTTCCTCTGGGTTTACACTGGTGTAAATGGATCAAGCCTCAAATCTCCAGAGAAAGTTTATCTGGACTGATCTCTTGCTCTCTCTGGGCAGGGGATAACGAATAGAGGTGTGAGAGAGGGAGGATGGTCATGTGAATGGGGTACTAGACTAGGACCTGGGAGATCTAGACTCCATGTCCAGCTCTGCCACTGATCCACTCTGAGACCTCGGGCCAGTCACTTAATATATCTAGTTCCTGAGTTCCCTGTCTGTGAAAGGGGGATAAGCCTTCAGAGCTTCCTTGGAGTCTTGTGAGGATTAAGCCTATGATTGTGAGGTGCTTCGATAGTGGGGTGATGACAGCATGGCACAGGGCAGCTGGCCCCAAAGGCAGTCAGCTCCCAGCCTACCTGTGCCAGGCTCTGCTGAAGAGGAGCCAGCCCAGACCCATCTGGGGATAACCGACAGCCTAAGCAGCTGGGCAGTAGTTAATCAGTTAAGGAACACCTAGGCCTTATGAAGGATGGTGTGGGTTCCGGCAGGAGAGAACACAGGGAGGAAGTACCTGGGGCATGAACTCCTCAGGAGAACTGACTAGGCAGCTGCTCCCACAGGGCGTTCCCTAGACAACAGAGGCTTCAGGGAAGAGAAACAGTCCCCAGAACACAGAAAGAGAAAGCTCCTAATGGGAGAACTTCTCAGGGGAGCTGGTGAGAGGGCTCACTGGGAAAGGAAACATGCTCCTAAGTGGGAGAGGCTCTGAAAGGGAGAAAGGATGCCACGTCTCAGTGAAACCTGATCCCAATGGAAGGACTTCACCAGAAAGCAGCAGGAGCCCAAGATCAGAGGAATTATGTGTTCTTCTGAGAAAGGGCCGTCACAGAATCACAGGACTGGAAGGGACCTCGAGAGGTCATCTAGTCCCGTCCTCTGCACTCAAGGCAGGACTAAGTATTATCTAGATCAGTGGTCTCCAAATTTTTTGGCTCATGCACCCCCAGGTGAAGACCGGAAGACCTGCCGCAGGCGGGCCGCCGCCGGAAGAACGACGGAAGACCTGCCGCAGGCAGGCCGCCGCCGGAAGAACGACGGAAGACCTGCCGCAGGCGGGCCGCCGGAGGGGGAACACCAGCCGTGGACGTACAGAGCTTCCGCAGAAGAAAAATAAAAACGGCGGAGTGCCGTCCAGCGGCACTCCTGCTGCCATGCACCCCCTGGATCATCTCATGCACCCCAGTTTGGAGACCACTGATCTAGACCATCCCTGACAGTGTTTGTCCAACCTACTCTTAAAAATCTCCAATGATGAAGATTTCACAACCTCCCTAGGCAATTTACCTACACTTTGAGCCTGGGCCTCAAGCTTCTCTTCCCAGAAAACAGGATCCCGGAAGTACCTGAGTCTGTCCTCAGCTGCAGGAGGTGCATGTGTGTACATGACATTCCTCTCCACCCAAGCAGGAAGTACACTGAGTTACCCAGCATTCCTTGCACAACAAACACAGGCTCTACATAGGTTAGACTGTACAAGGAGAAGGGGGGAGGGGGGCTGAAAATTGAGATCCCCCCCATTGTGATTCTCATTTGACAGAAGGCTCCAATGGAATGGTTGTTTTGGGCACATGCCTTCTGCCCTTCTTATGATTCCCACCAGATGTACAAACATACGGGCCTGACACTCCATCCACCCTATAAAACACAACTTCACCAACCAGCAACAGAAAAGACCACCCCCATATAGTCCCTCCCAGGCTTGGCAATGAATGCCCCAAGCCCCTGACCCAGGTGCTCCCAGAATGGCTTCTCACCTTGCTCCTGAGGTAGGCGGAGCCACGCTCACAGCGGATCCCTCCTGTACAGTACATCAACACGCGCTTGTTTTTAAAAAGCTCTAAATTTTCATCTATGTAGCTGGGAAAGTAGCTGAACTTCCTAATGTCTGGAGCCAGGCAGCCCTGGAAATGACCCTGTAACAAGAAGAGATGGCTGTGTGATCGACAGCACTGGCAAAAGGAGTGGGAACACTGGCTGAACTAAAGAAAGAACCAACCCTTTGGGCCTGACCCTCCAGGTCACTGCAGCTACTTTGGCTCCTCAAAGGGTATTTAGGCACCTAACTTCCATTGATTTCAATGGGAATTAGGTGCCTAAATACCTTTGTGCCTCACAGCATCTGGATTCTGGTTCTAAAGCCAAGACATCCTACCCTGTTACCCCAGTGTGAACGGGATCGCCTGGGGAGGGATAGCTCAGTGGTTTAAGCATTGGCCTGCTAAACCCAGGGTTGTGAGTTCAATCCTTGAGGGGGCCATTTAGGGATCTGGGGCAAAATTGGGGATTGGTCCTGCTTTGTGCAGGGGGTGGGACTAGATGATCTCCTGAGGTCCCTTCCAACCCTGATATTCTATGACATAACACTGAGGCTCCTCCCTGCGGCTGGCACAGAGGGCGTGGCTGGAGGACGGGGACTTGGTCAGGATGTCTCTCTGTTGCACTGATGGCCAAGGCAGGGTGGGCTTTGGCTGTCTAAACCAGATTTGAATGGCTTTTCTCTGTTGTTAAAGCTTTGGCATCCCCCGTCTGTTTCACGTCAGACTACACATGCTGCTCCACTGCTGGGCACTGAGCCGTCGGGCCACCCTCAGTATGGCACTGAGAAGCCAGGCAGGTCCTTTGCTGCTTGAAGCGACGTACCATTCGTGAATTGGCACCACCAAGCTGCAAGGTAGCATGGCAATCCCTTCCCCTCAGTCACATCACCCACACATGCGGACAGGGTGAAATGATCCCCCCAACCACCAACAATACCTCACAGGGAGCAAATACTCAGCACTTACTATTTTACTTTCATAAAAGTTCCTGCAGTCCAGTAAAATGGTGTCGCTTTGTGCTTGAGGAGCCTGAGATAAATATTTTTCTACTTCTTTATGAAATTCCTCGGGGGATAAATGGATTCCTAAAAATAAAACACATGGAAAGAAGCGCTGAAAAGCTGAGCTGTTTTAAATGCTGACCAGTTTAGCAATTCCGCTTGGCCTCTCTTCTAACCCAGCAGTGACACATGTGCATGACAAGCTTCTCTGGGAAGTGAACGCTACTGGAATGTCAGCTGGTCTCAGCCCAAACATACTGGGCAAATTTATCTGTAATGTCACTCCACAGGCTTCAGTGAATGAACAAATGCATCACAGCATGAGTCAAGGGAACGAAGGATGCCAAGCTGCCATCTGTCTTACAGTGGGCTGGGTGGAACAGCAGTGCTGAGCCTTTGCTGCCTTGCCCTATCATTTACACCCCTCGTGTGCAAAACACTGCCCTGCTGACTGGTGGCACTTTACACTCACTCCACCTGGGTGTAAATTGTGACACAAGGTGCAGGGCTGGGGAGGATCAGACCCTGAATGGTCTGGGCTAGCAGGGTCTGAACAAAGGTAGCACAAAGGTATCCCCACCTGCCGCCTCTACACTAATGAGCCTGCCCTGGAGGAGGTATCAAGAAGTGGCTCACACAGAGCCAACCTGCTCTGTTACGTCAATGTAAGCCCAGACGAACTCCACCTGCTTTCCACAGCATCTCCAAGCAACAGCACCCCGCGCATCATTTGTCTTTGTAGAGGGCTCCATCACATCTAAGGGAACAGGCTGGCTCGCCTGCCCGCTGGCGCCAAAGATTGGATAACAATGCCGTGTTTACAGAAAGCTATCTTGGGGGACAGCACACGTGCTCATGAAAGGTGTTGCACTGTCAGCCTTGGAGAATGAAGCAGATCAGGGTGGCTCAGCACTTGCTAACCTACCTCAATCCTGACCTGGATGGATGAAAGAAGAGCTTCGTCTCCAGGCCCATTCAGTACTCGCTCTCTGTACAATGATGTCAAGGGTGGGCAGGGGCTTGGTGGTCTCCAGGGAGCTAATTTAAGACCATCCAAGAGCCATGTACTTGCTGCCTTAGATGGTATCTGAATGAGTGGCTTAGCAGTGAGCAGCTCTGTAGCTTCATTTGTCATGCAGATGTTTATGGTCGTTCGGGTCTACAGACTACTGGGGCCACTGTCCGCAGGCAGCACCTAACGCTTTTTGGACATGTTGCAAGGATGCCACAAGACGTTCCAGCGAACGCCATTCTCAGGGTGGTTTGTAACATCCGGGATAAAATTCCGCCAACTGAGGGGTGGAGGCGGCCAAGAGGCAGACCCTCCTATTACATGGGTTCATCAAGTCTGTTCCGATGTTGGACTCTCAGACCGTCAAGCCTTTGCAGTTGTGCAGGAACGGACCAAATGGGAAACGATCGCTACAGCCGACTGTCTGGGTCAGTGTTGAAGAAGAAGCTCTGTAGCCCACTACCAATCACTGGAGCCATACAGTCCCTCTTTGGTGGGCTTGCACAAGTCCCACAGATTATGGGTATTCTAGTGTATTGTGCTACTATTCTACTATCTTCAACGGATCCTTTACCTTTTTGAAATGAATAGAATCATAGAATATCAGGGTTGGAAGGAACCTCTGGAGGTCACCTAGTCCAATCCCCTGCTCAAAGCAGGACCAATCCCCAACTAAATCATCCCAGTTAGGGCTTTGTCAAGCCTGACCTTAAAAACCTCTAAGGAAGGAGATTCCACCACCTCCCTAAGTAACCCATTCCAGTGCTTAACTACCCTCCTAGTGAAAAAGTTTTTCCTAATATCCAACCTAAACCTCCCCCACTGCAACTTGAGACCATTACTCCTTGTTCTGTCATCTGCTACCACTGAGAACAGTCTGGAGCCATCCTCTTTGGAACCCCCTTTCAGATAGTTGAAAGCAGCTATCAAATCCCCCCTCATTCTTCTCTTCTGCAGATTAAATAATCGCAGTTCCCTCAGCCTCTCCTCATAAATCATGTGCTCCAGCCCCCTAATCAAAAGTGATTCCCTCTGCTGGACTCTCTCCAATTTTTCCACATCCTTCTTGTAGTTTGGGGCCCAAAATTGGACACAGTACTCCAGAAGAGACCTCACCAATGCCGAATAGAGAGGAATGATCATGTCCCTCGATCTGCTGGCAATGCTCCTACTTATACAGCCCAAAATGCTGTTAGTCTTCTTGGCAACAAGGGCACTCTGTTGACTTATATACAGCTTCTCGTTCACTGTTACCCCTAGGTCCTTTTCTAGCCGCTCGGTCCCCCGCCAGTAGCAGTGCAGGGATTCTTCCATCCTAAGTGCAGGACTCTGCACTTTTCCTTGTTGAACCTCATCAGATTTCTTTTGGCCCAATCCTCTAATTTTTCTGGGTCCTTCTGTATCCTATCGCTACCCTCCAGCATATCTACCACTCCTTCCAGTTTAGTGTCATCTGCAAACTTGCTGAGGGTGCAATCCACGCCATCCTCCAGATCATTAATGAAGATATTGAACAAAACTAGTCCCAGGACCGACCCTTGGGGCACTCCGCTGTGCTTACAGACGCTCTGGGACATGATATTGTGGGGCAGTGCACAGCTGCACCACAGATGAGGTTGCACCAATGTCTCTGTTTAAAGTCCAATTTTCAAACCTCTTCAAATTCCACAAATAATATCAGATCATCTTGAAAACTGGTACGGCAGCTCCAGGCTCAGGGCAGTTTGTGATGCAAATCTGGGGTCATTTGGGCCAGAGATTCTCTGCCCTCCGCTGCCCCAAAAGACTTGTTTTTAAAATTCCAACTTTCTTCTAACACTTTTTTGTGCGGAGTTGAGGGGCAAAACCCATGGATAATATCTATCTGACACTTATAACATGTGCCCGCCCCAGCTGCGATCTAGTGACTGGTACCAAGAACAAGCTTCAACACCTCCTAAATAAAAAATAGCTCTGATTCCAGAGAGCAAATGCCAGGCCCCTGCAAGGGACCCTAGCACTACATGTAGGATCCTGGCTGGAGCTGAGAGAGATTCTCACTCTTGGCACACCCTGGAGTCTAGGGGAATGGATCTGCCCTGCAAGCCAGGAAACCAGGCATTCAAGCCTCTTCTTCCACGACTGCCACACGTGTGTCTGTGCCTCTCGCAACCTTTGTATGAGTCAAGCCTCCACAGCAGCATTGCCCCTATCTTAGAGGTAACAGAGGCCACAAAAGGTGGAGCTAAGAATAAAACCCAGGTTTTGGATACAGCAGATCCAAGTCTCAGCCACTCAACCTCTTCAAAGCACATGCCAGATCTATGGGCTTGTGCAGCCTGTCTCTTACTCCTGCTCTAAACACTAGCCCAGATTTCCCTTCCAGAACCAAGGAATCCTGATTCTCAACACTCTGCTGCTTTCTATCAACTAGCTGCATAACTCACTGGCAAAGTATGTTAGCTCAAGCAACGCCAGGCTGTAGTGTGGTTCTGAGTCCCCTCTTCAAGCCCTCCTGCTGAGCCCTGGGGGGAGCACTGGGATGTCCCAGGATGGGACTTCTCCTTTGGCAGTTAACGTTGCAACTCAGTTTCTGTTTAAAACCAAATTTTACATCCTCTCTAAAATCCACCAAATTAGGACAAATCAGCCTGAAAATTGGTAGGTTAGGGGCCTGGCAGCAGCTCTACAAGGTCACTTCTGGCAGAACCAAAATTAGAACCAAATACTTCACATAATAAAGCTAGCGTGTAATCTCTTAGCCAGTTGGGCTTTGAGAAAGGCTAAGCCAAATCTATGTGCTTGTCTATTCTGTCTGTATTGGTGCATGTGGGATTCCTGCACACGCACCTCAGGGCCTGGTGAGACACACTGATTAAGTGCCAAACAGCTGCGCACAGGATGGAATGCCTGTGCAGCGAATGGGGGAAGTCTGGCCTGAAAGAAAAAGGATGGTTCTGTGGCGAAGGTACTGGACAGGCTGCGGCACTACCTGACTTTGCCACGCACTTCCCGGGTCAGCTACTGTTCTGCTGCTGGAGAACAGGAAACACAGAAGTTACGTTTATTCCATACTCCTCCTTTTCAGTTTGCTGGTGTTGCTCTGCAGTATAATCCAAGAGTGGCTGGCCATAGCACGCATACAGTATAGCTGAGAGTAACTTGCATGCTGGAGGCTGGGTGTGGGCAGACCAGAGGTGGTGGTTCTCTCAGCCAAGCAGTGTAAAAAGCACCCCAGGTCGGAGAACTGAGGGGACACAGCATTTAACAGTCCAGATTGTTCCCTGAGTAATGTCACACAGAGGCCTAGGCGAGAAGATCCCAGTGCAGGACTGGGGCCATAATTTGCACTAATCAGCTTGCAGTAAAGACAGCATGAAATAGACTTCACGTATCAATATGATATTCTACAGCAGTAGAATAGCAGAACCCACAGTTAGGGCCTGATCCTGCTCCACTGAAATCAATGGGAGCTTTGCCATTAGCTTCAACCAGAGCCAGACTAGGGCCTTCGGTCCCAGTTTAACAAAGCACTTAAGCACATGCTTAAAGTTAAGCACAGGCTTAAGTGCTTTGCAGAATTGGGATGTTAGGATCTGTTCCAAAACCTAGAGTGATAGACCCAGGCCAGTTGGGTACAGCAGAGTAGCCTTATTGGGATCCAGGAAGTGGGCGGGCGAAGCTCGCCCACTGCTAAAGGATCCCCCCCCAGCCTAAGGGGGGGATCCACAGGACCTGGGAAACCAAATAATTACGGGGGACAACTAATGAACAACAGGGACGGGAGTGCGGTCAAAGGGTCAAACGAAGGGAACCGGACAGGGACACCGAGCAGAGAACCCCGGACAGCGCCCACAGCTCCTCAAAGGCGTCAAGTGAGTCAGTGGACGCCGCCCAGAGGAACTCTGCCCGGAGGCGTGAACGGACAGAGGATCAGAAATAGGCCCCGCAGTCGCGGGAGACTCCATCGGCCAACCTCCTCACCCTGGTTTTATAGATGGCCACTTTAGCCAGGGCCAAGAGGAGGCTGACCAGGAGATCCCGCGACTTAGTGGGGCCATGGACAGGGAGTGCATAGATAAGGAAGTGAGGAGAAAAGTGCAACCAAAACCTTAACAAAATATTCGTGAGGAGCCGGAATAGGGGCTGCAACCTGGCGCACTCCAAATAGACGTGCGCCAGGGTTTCCCTCACGCCGCAAAAGGGGCAGGTGTCCGGGATTGGGGTGAACCGCGCCAAGTACACGCCCGTGCTCATGGCCCCGTGAAGGAGCTGCCAACTGATATCCCTGGCGGGCCTCGGGACTAAGGTGGAATAGAGGCTGGCCCACCGGGGCCCCTCACCCTCTAGAGGTGGCAGGAGGTCCTGCCACTTTGTGTCAGGGCGGGACGTGAGGGTGAGGACATGAAGGGTGTGGAGCACGAGCGTGTAGAGATGTTGTTTTGGCGTGGTCTGGAACCGGACTGGCTGCAGCTCACGCAGCCGGCTCACGGTGAAGGGGCGGGGGGGGGGGGGGGGTCGGTTGGGTCCACGGGGCAGGGGCCCGATGAAAAGGTCCGGAGGGCCTGGGGTAGAGGGTGGGCGGGGCGCGCCCTCTCGCAGGACCCGGTCGAGGTAAACCCGAGCAGCGGGCGGCAAAGCGGCCCTTACCTCCTGAAGTACGCGCAGGGCAGTACGAGGTCTGGAGAGCCCCATGCGCTGAGCGAGCATCAGGGGATCCAGCCAGTCTCCCCGGTTGTAGTCCAGGAGGTCTCCGACTCTGGTGACTTCTGCCAGGACCAACCTCTGGCACACCGAGGGGACTCTGCCGCCTGCACACAGAGCTGGGGGTTGTGTAGCAGGGGCTCCGCGAGGAGATCTTCTCCCACGGAGACCGCCACAGACCTGGTCGCTGCAAACAGTTTCCAGGTCCGGAGAAGGTCCTGGTAGAAGACCGGCAGCCCGGAGAGGTCTCGCGGAAGACCCCTCGGATGGAGATAAAGGAGCTGCCGGTCATATCGGAGCCCTCGGATACAGCAGAGTAGCAGAAGGCAGATATACTGGCCACTGGGTTAACAGTTTTCTGTTCCCTGACTGACCAGAGCAGGGGCTGCTCCATGCTAATGAGAACACCTGACTCCAATTAACCTGCGAAGAGTCAGGCGAGGCCATTAAGCTAATGTGACCACCTGACTCTAATTAAGGCCCCTCTGATAATTATAAAAGGGCTCACTCCAGTCAGGAAGGGAGTAGCCAGAGGAGAGGAAGTGCAGCTGAAGGGCTGGTTAATGAAGACACCTTCAAGTCTTTAGTAAGGGAGCCCTAAGGTAAGGGTGAAGAAGGGAGAAGCAGGAGAGCTGTGGGGAAGTGGCCCAGGGAAATGTAGCAACTCTGGCAGTAAAAGGTTGGCTGCCAACAGTTGCTACCATTAGGGTCCCTGGGCCGGAACCCCGAGTAGAGAGCAGGCCCGGGTTCCCCGCAACCCACCACTACAGAAACACCTCCTGGGAGGGGAAAAGAGGCCCATCAGGACAGGAGGCTAAACTGTTTTGGCATGAGGCTGTAGGAGCAACAGAAACCGTGGGAATTCTCTCACCAAGCTCCATTGCTGGCTTATGATGAAAAGGGCTCAGTAGACTGTATCCCTGACCCTAGAGAGAGAAGGGCTATGTGGAGGGTTGCAGTGAGCCTCTGAAGCTAGCATAAACCGCCTGGAAGCGCGGGACCCATGGGGACAAGGTTGGAGCTCTGCCACACTAGCGACACCAAAAGAGGGTCGCCCATTGACGCCAATGGGCTCTGGATCAGGCCCTTCACGTAGAGTTTGGACCGGAGGAATTAACAACAGGCTACCTGCAGCAATGTTAGGCTCTTTGTGCAATACCAGATGCAGCAGCAATGCTTACACAGCAATCTCTACCAGTCTCTCAGTATTTGTGCCGTAAAGGCAATTTCAGAGCGGTCTGAAATATCCACATCTCATGCATATTTAAAGCAATTATAAATATTTCTTGTGCTCAAAAACTCCTCCAAATCATTCCATTATTAATTATATATATTTTCTCCTTACATCCTTTCTTGCCCTGGATGACTTTTCAAGTGTTATGTCAGACTCAGTGACCTTAACTACTACTAATTTGGTGAAATGAAATGGATAGCTTACTCTCGAGCTGCCAAAGCAGCTAAATATTGTGCAAATCAATGACCTGATCCAGCAATTTCCCTATGAAGGGAACCCCCATTGTAAGCATGGCTGCTCCCCTGGACGTTTTCTAACAATGCTATCTATGCTTTTGTCATATCCTGGTTACTGTGCGTAGATGAGGCTTTCTTCCGGCAGCTCACGGAAGCTACTGGATCGCATGCCCTGATTCTCATGGGTGACTTTAATTTTCCTGATATCTGCTGGGAGAGCAATACAGCGGTGCATAGACAATCCAGGAAGTTTTTGGAAAGCGTAGGGGACAATTTCCGGCGCAAGTGCTCAGAGCCAACTAGGGGGCGCTTTCTTGACCTGCTGCTCACAAACCGGGTAGAATAGTGGGGGAAGCAAAAGTGGATGGGAATCGGGGGGCAGTGACCATGAGTTGGTTGAGTTCAGGATCCTGACACAGGGAAGAAAGGTAAGCAGCACATACGGACCCTGGACTTCAGGAAAGCAGACCGACTCCCTCAGGGAACGGATGCCAGGATCCCCTGGGGGACTAACTTGAAGGGGAAAGGAGTCCAGGAGAGCTGGCTGATTTCAAGGAATCCCTGTTGAGGTTACAGGGACAAACCATCCCGATGAGTCGAAAGAATAGTAAATATGGCAGGCGACCAGCTTGGCTTAATGGTGAAATCTTAGCGGATCTTAAACATAAAAAAGAAGCTACAAGAAGTGGAAGGTTGGACATATGACCAGGGAAGAGTATAAAAATATTGCTAGGGCATGTAGGAATGTTATCAGGAGGGCCAAATCGCACCTGGAGCTGCAGCTAGCCAGAGATGTCAAGAGTAACAAGAAGGGTTTCTTCAGGTATGTTGGCAACAAGAAGAAAGCCAAGGAATGTGTGGCCCCTTACTGAATGAGGGAGGCAAACTAGTGACAGAGGATGTGGAAAAAGCTAATGTACTCAATGCTTTTTGCCTCTGTTTTCACTAACAAGGTCAGCTCCCAGACTGCTACGCTGGGCATCACAAAATGGGGAAGAGATGGCCAGCCCTCTGTGGAGATAGAGGTGGTTAGGGACTTTTTAGAAAAGCTGGACGTGCACAAGTCCATGGGGCCGGACGAGTTGCACCCGAGAGTGCTGAAGGAACTGGCGGCTGTGATTGCAGAGCCATTGGCCATTATCTTTGAAAACTCGTGGCGAACCGGGGAAGTCCCGGATGACTGGAAAAAGGCTAATGTAGTGCCAATCTTTAAAAAAGGGAAGAAGGAGGATCCTGGGAACTACAGGCCAGTCAGCCTCACTTCAGTCCCTGGAAAAATCATGGAGCAGGTCCTCAAAGAATCAATCCTGAAGCACTTACATGAGAGGAAAGTGATCAGGAACAGCCAGCATGGATTCACCAAGGGAAGGTCATGCCTGACTAATCTAATTGCCTTCTATGATGAGATTACTGGTTCTGTGGATGAAGGGAAAGCAGTGGATGTATTGTTTCTTGACTTTAGCAAAGCTTTTGACACGGTCTCCCACAGTATTCTTGTCAGCAAGTTAAGGAAGTATGGGCTGGATGAATGCACTACAAGGTGGGTAGAAAGCTGGCTAGATTGTCGGGCTCAACGGGTAGTGATCAATGGCTCCATGTCTAGTTGGCAGCGGTATCAAGTGGTGTGCCCCAAGGGTCGGTCCTGGGGCGGTTTTGTTCAATATCTTCATAAATGATCTGGAGGATGGTGTGGATTGCACTCTCAGCAAATTTGCGGATGATACTAAACTGGGAGGAGTGGTAGATACGCTGGAGGGGAGGGATAGGATACAGAAGGACCTAGACAAATTGGAGGATTGGGCCAAAGAAATCTGATGAGGTTCAATAAGGATAAGTGCAGGGTCCTGCACTAGGACGGAAGAACCCAATGCACAGCTACAGACTAGGGACCGAATGTCTAGGCAGCAGTTCTGGAAAAGGACCTAGGGGTGACAGTGGACGAGAAGCTGGATATGAGTCAGCAGTGTGCCCTTGTTGCCAAGAAGGCCAATGGCATTTTGGGATGTATAAGTAGGGGCATAGCGAGCAGATCGAGGGACGTGATCGTTCCCCTCTATTCGACATTGGTGAGGCCTCATCTGGAGTACTGTGTCCAGTTTTGGGCCCCACACTTCAAGAAGGATGTGGATAAATTGGAGAGAGTCCAGCGAAGGGCAACAAAAATGATTAGGGTTCTGGAACATATGAGTTATGAGGAGAGGCTGAGGGAGCTGGGATTGTTTAGCCTGCAGAAGAGAAGAATGAGGGGGGATTTGATAGCTGTTTTCAACTACCTGAAAGGGGGTTCCAAAGAGGATGGCTCTAGACTGTTCTCAATGGTAGGAGATGACAGAACGAGGAGTAATGGTCTCAAGTTACAGTGGGGGAGGTTTAGATTGGATATTAGGAAAAACTTTTTCACTAAGAGGGTAGTGAAACACTGGAATGCGTTACCTAGGGAGGTGGTAGAATCTCCTTCCTTAGAGGTTTTTAAGGTCAGGCTTGACAAAGCCCTGGCTGGGATGATTTAACTGGGAATTGGTCCTGCTTTGAGCAGGGGGTTGGACTAGATGACCTTCTGGGGTCCCTTCCAACCCTTATATTCTATGATTCTATGATTCTATGATGGTGTTCTGTTGACAGTGCGTTACTCTCTCATTTACTTCACAGTTCAGTTCCAATCTCTGTTATTAACAAGTTGTTATTGTTCATAAAATTAATGTACCGGTTTCTTTGTAGGAGACTTTGTTTGGATTGATGCCCATGGGTACGATCTCTTCAAATACGCCAACTCGAAAGTCTGGGAAACAGTGAGCTCCTCCAGCACTGCTCTGGGAAATTAGAAATAAGGTCATGCCACCAAAGAGACACCTTGCTGTCAAATTAAAGACTCGCCAACAAATGTACAGATCCCTTCAGACTTGTTGAGACTCCACTGTATTTCTAGTTTCTAAAATCATGTGAGATGTCAATACAAGCAAGTCGCTTTGGGGGGACTGGATGGCACAAGGGATTGGTGATGGCTTCTCTCCGTTCAAGGTTGCCTCTCTGAATCCACCAGAGAGGGGTGGTGGTTTCAGTCCAGTTCCCAGTGGACAGTTATTTGAATAACTGTTTAAAAAAAAAAAAAAGTCAACTGGCCTCTAATGGATGCGCCATGGAAACTGAGCCAGCCACTCCCTGCTAGCAGCAGTTCCTCTTGGCCAGAAACAGACCTGTTAGCAGGCAGTAGAGGGAGGCCTGCCTTGCCACTGTATATGCTGAATCTATTTTGTTGATTAAAGAAAGGTTTTTTTTATCTGGGACTGGCAAGCTGGGACCTTTCACCAACACTAAATTCACGTCAAATTTAAAAGAATAAACAAAATTCCCTTCTGATCTCTGGCTCTGCTGGTGGGTTTGTGGCTCATTGCAATCTTCAGCCAGAACAATCCCTGACACAGAGCACCGTTTGTCCTGGTGTGACTGTATGTAATTGCAATCTGCAGTGATCCATGAGGCTCGCTGGACCCTGATGTAATACATGAGGGACCAGCCAGATTCAGGGTTTTACTAACAGCAATGTGCATGCAGGAGGAGCTCTGTGTGTGAAAATTCCATCCTGTGTGGGCAGGTGTGAGAACGTGCCAATTGCACATGCTGGTGTTTGAGCTGGGAGAATGCGATGCATGAATGCACATGTGCAACTTTGCACATACACAGGTGAAGACTTTGCTAGGGCCCTAATGAAAAAAGTTTAAAATCAGCACTAGACTTTTATAAGGACTTTTAGTTTAATGATGCTCAATTATTTCATCTGCTTGTCTTATTTACAACATAAAAAAGTTTTCTCACTAGACACGAAACTATCCACAGGACAGTAAATAATAATAAAACAAAACAGTTTATCCACAAATAAACTGTTCCTTGGGCCAATACTGCAGGAGCTGAATTCCTTGTGTTCAATGTGGATTTTCAGTGCAGTAGAGGGATGCTACCAAGAAGTAACATTTATTTCTAAAAGAAATTTTGAGGATGAAAACAAACATTGGAGTAAATAATTCTGTATGTGTGTCCCTTTCTCTTACCTTGAAATCCTCTCTGCACAAAATGTTTTTGAAAAGAGGATGGGAAAGCATTGCCTCTATATAAAGATTGGTAGCTACTTTGCTTCCACCAACTGTCCCATTAATGCCTTCTGAAGCAATGCGCACCTAGAAGCCAGAAAGGAAAGCTAGATTTAAGATCTAGTCATAATGCAAACCAATCAAAATGAAACTAATGAACCAGGACCAGCTGGGAATGAGAGGAGAGTTGTAGAAAAATGTTCAGGAAAAGAGAAGAAGTGGGGAAAAAAACTATAGTGATCCTGAATGAGAGAGGAGAAGTGCAGCTAAAGAAAAACTGCAAAAGGTAGGAATTGTTCTATGGCCAGTTTTGCTCTGTACTCCTAAAAAGGATAATGAGGAAGTCAGAAAACCTTGTGCAGGAAGCAGAAAAAACAATTTACCAGTAAGGGGCAAATTTTGCAATAATTAGTCAGACACAACCTCCAGTGGGAGTTGTAGCTGAGTGAGGACTGTGGTATTAGTCCCAATAAAGCAAGTCGAAAGAAAGGGCGAAAGTGCCTGTGTCACAATGAAATCTATCCAACTCGGATGCATCACAGCTCGACCAGTAGAGATTTTTTTTTTTTTTTAAGTGAAGAAAATCTCAGAACGTATGGAAGCAAATTTTGACTACATCGAGAGAGAGAGGAAAAGCATGCAGCTGACAAGGGCAAATGTAACCCCTGTCTTTGAGAAGGAAGGACTTTATTTTTATTTTTTGGTAGTTTACATTTAACACAGTACTGTACTGTACTGTATTTGGGTTGTTTTTGTCTCTGCTGCTGTCTGATTGCATACTTCTGGCTCCAAATGAGGTATGTGGTTGGCTGGTCGGTTCATAACTCTGGTGTTCGTAACTCTGAGGTTCTACTGTAGTCCATCAAAAAGAAGTGTCAGAGGTCACGGACCCAGTTCATAAATAATTTTAAGGAAGATAGACTACACATGTCTGCAAAGGAACTATTTGTACTCTAAGAAGACAGTAGGACAAGGAGCAAAGAGCTGAAGCTAAGGAAGGAAGAGTTTAGGGTAGGCACTGGGGGAAAGACTATAGGAGCAATGGAGCAGCAGAACAGAGTAGGAAGGGCACCATCACTGCAGATGTTCAGGACAGCCTGGAGAAGATGTTCATGGGTATTATCTACTGTTGCATAGTGACTAATCCTACAAAACGCAGGGAATCAGGCTGGATGAGCCAAGCCCCATCCAGACTGGAAGGGTTAATGTGCTGCTGTGAACTAAATCAGCCCTGCCTGTTGCACTGGTCGGAAGGGAAGGGCTGAAGAGGGGAGAGCCTGCTCAGCGGGGGAGGAACACAGATGGTTGCCCTTCATGTGGTAACAAACGCAGGGCTAGGACTGAAGCCTGATGGAACCTCCCTGGCACAGGACTATTTGGAGGGACCTGGGGACCTGGCAGGGGGTGTCTCACCTGAAGGGGAAGTACAGCGCTTGAGAGCTGAACCCAGAGGGTAGATGGATGAGTAACTTTAAAGGGACTGAGAACTCCCCTTTATTTTGTGTTTGTGACTGTGGACTCTGCTAACCCAGAAGGGGATTGAGCTTCTGTAGTGACCTGGTTGGAGGGCTGAGCCACATAAACCTCTAGAGTGGGCAAGAAACAGTAGCTGGAGAAACTGAGGTAGAGGCAGGCCTGCAGTACCATGCCTCACCATGAGATGATGGACTGGGGCCCCTAATGTCTGTAAAGTTGTGAGACACAAAACCATGCCTGACAATAAACAATCCTCTCCCTTATGCGGCTCTCCATCGTACAGTTCTCTGTAACTTGTTGAATGCTCTGCTCTCTTCCTCAATACAATAGTGCCGATTACAGCCTGGCTCTCTGGGGCACATCATTTCTCACTAAACAGAGACAAATATGGGGAGGGGAAACAGCCACTCCTTAAAGACTTACCTTGCCAGTGAGATTAAGGTGCTGGCACAGGGACTTCTGCCAAGCACAGAGCCCCCCTGGGTCTTCCACCTCACAGTAACAGTAATATAACAGCACTCCTCCCACGCCGCTGCCACAAGTGCCGCCAGGGAGAACAAACAGGAAGAGTATTTTAGATTCTGCAGCACACAAGATTATGCAGTTAATACAGTGATTGGTGTCAGACAGGGAATTCATCCTTAGAGAACCGGCCATTTTCCTCCAGGCTGTTGTCAAACGGTTTTGTGGGGCTATGCTGTTTATTTTCATTTAATTCAAGAAACGGAAATAAGTCAGAGACGATGCAGATCTCCATAGCCCTAGTTTTTTCTACAGTGGCCTTGCCAATGTTGACAAAAAACTAATTAGCCCTGAATGGCCTGTCAGTGCCAGTAGCTCATACCTCATTCACATTTGAGAACCAGATTTCTTTAAACACATGCAACGCGAGGACTCGTGTTTTCCAGACATGTCAGAGGCTCCTTGAGGACTACGGCTGAAGTCTGAAAACTAAACTTAAATTTGAATTAGCCAAGTGAAAAAAACATCCACTTCTTTTAAATGGCCAATCAGGGGCCAAATTCTAAGGTGGTGTAAGCTGGACTCTCTTACAATCAGTAAGACTCACGTACACCCACAGACAAATGTTATAACCCACAGGCTGGAGAGCCAGGAGAGGATGATAATAGAGGGTAACCTGCATATTCTCACCCTCTCCTGCTAGTTGCTTTCCTTGAGAGATGCCTTTTTATGGCCTCTGAGCATGTGAGTTCCTCCACCCCAGGCCTTCTTCGACTCAGTGGGAAGAATACAGAGATGGGGCTTGATTCTCCACCACCTTGCACGGTGTGCAGTCATTTACGCCAGTGTAAAGCGGGGGTGAAATGCTCCCAGATCAGCACGGTGAGGCTTCACACTCCCTTCGCACAGGTCAGAACGGCTGCACAAGGTGCGTTTAGTCAGTGGGAATGAGTCCACGGGGTTCTAGGTCACTAGATAAATCATAGGGGTCCTGGAGGGATGAGATGAAGGTGGGAAGCTGCATCTACTAAGGCCTTGTCATACACAAAAGTTGCATCAGTTTAATTAAAGCTAACTGTAAGTGGCTGTAGTTAAACTGGTGCAAACAGTGACATGGATGCCTTTCCATTGGCTCACCCCAGGCTTACAGTGAGAAACACAGTTTTCATATTGTTGAGGCAATTTCTTACCTTGTCAGTTCATCAAAACTAATGTGGCTTGTGTCTGGGAGCCTATCAGAGAGCTCCTGGCTGTTACAGGTGGGACCGCTTAGCCTATCTGTCTCATCTGCAGAAGCTGGGTTACTTGAGGTGCTGGCTTCAGCAGCCAACTGCTTTAGAATCAAACCTGTCTGCTGCTGGATGTCGCTGGAATGCTGCGTGGCGACATGTATGTGAACGCTGGTGAGGTCTTTAAAGGTTTGTCTGCAGCATTTCCACCCCAGTCCTGCTCTGCACATGGCTGGAGGGCAGCTAGCTGTTGCCGGCAGTTCCTTTGCTTTGACAAAGAGGGCAAATGCCTGCAAGCATTACAAACACTGTCAATTAGGCTTTGGTTCCTTCCTAGATCCTGTCACACAACTCAAGACTGGATGAAGGACAAATCCCAGTGATGTGGTGCTTTTAAACAGGTCGCCCAGTTACTGGACAGGGTGTTGGGGTAAGTAAATACCCTGGGATTCCTCAGCAATGCCATTTCTCATGATGCTGTCAATCTGCCCTGCCAAGGCTCTTGGTTTCATTAGAAATAGCTACCACATTAACCTGCTGGGGAGTTATTTTCCAGGCCCAGCCTCATGTGCCATATTGGGAAGCTTTGCAGTACTAGACCCCAAACCATGACAGAAACATAAGCATGTCCTCTTCTTTTGGGGACACTGTTCCAATGCTGCCACAGCACCCCTCATCAGTCCCCACGACATGCACCTACAGCCCCTGACAGAACCCCCGCTGCCTGCCTCATGGAAACATGCTGCTGCCCAGGACACGGGCTTGGAACGGTATTTCCATGCATTCCAGTGACCTCAGCATTAACTCTCCAATTTGTCATATAATCACAGCAAGTGGATACATCAATCAGCAACAACTCTGCAGTTTCCAGCCCCATCCACCCGCTGCTGGGGTAATTAAGTCTTATGTTTTAAATACAACCATGCTCTTCTGTTCATGGGCAAGCCCCTCAAGTACCCTGCGGTTCTTGGGACATTACACATTTGGATGGCGGGTCCCACCATCCTGCCACATCCCTAAAATGTCCCACATCTTCTGCCCCCACCACCTCTTGCCTGAGTGCACACAGCTGCCTACCGCTGAGTCCAGTTAACTCCACTGCCAGGGTGGCTGTGCCTGCCCTCCCTACTGCCTGGTCCCTGTCTGAGGTGTACACTTCCACCAGCAGCCCCCTGCCTGAGCCCAGGCAACAAGGGAAACACATGCTTACCTTCCTACTGTGCTCTCCAGCATCACTTGGAGGATTGCAGGGAGGTGGGATATGGGGCAGACTGAGGGAGGATGGGAAAGGGGAGAACAGTGGCGTGATAGGGGCTTAGACTGCAGAGGAAAGGGAAGGAGAATAAGGTGTCACTTCAGGAATCACAACCCTCTCTGCCTCCTATTTTGGGGGACTCTGTCACACATGGCCATTTGGGGAGATGTGTACACAGATATGTGCATGGTGCCACACCACATACTATGTACATTCAGCAACCCAGTGTGTCTGAGTAAGTGTAGCAGATGGTATCGGAAGATAGCCGGCAGTGCATGTCCTTGTGTCTGAGCAGAGCTGAGCCCTCAGCTGGGAGCCTTAAATATGCCCCCTGTAGCTTTTAAACGATTGTGAAAAAACCCACACTCCTCAGATCAACATTTTGATCACCTGCATTTGCTCAGTTGGAACAGGAGGTCTATGCTCCAATTATTGCTGAGGCATTCTCTGCACGCTTAGCTTTTCAGCACTGTTCGGTTTTACTGTAGCTAAGCGATGCAATACATTTGGTTTAGCCTTGGAAATGTCGGGAGCATCCTTGCAGACCATCTTGAAAATGTTGTTTCACATACAAACACCAGTTTTTAGGTACAAAAGTGGGGAATAACATTATTAAAACAAAACTATTCCTTTAATGTGTCATATTTCTGTCTGATAAGGAGTGTCTTTCCCACCCATGATTGTTGCATGCAACCTAGTGATTAAAGACAAAATATTTCTCTCTATTTTGTCAGTGTATTTGACAGTACTCTGTGTAAGTCTGTTTCACTATAATCAGTTGCTATTGTTTACTCTGGAGAGGCAGAATCACTGTATGTAAAGTGCATTTCACTGTTGCACCAGAGGACCGCAGTGAATGTTTGAGTCTTTCATACAGCAACATTAAAATGGAAATTTTTCTAAAAAAATAAGAAAATATTGCTCCACACCTGCAAAAATTGGCAGGAGGAATCAGAGACAGATTTCAGATTGGAAACTTTTAATCAATTTTTTTCTTTAAACTGACTAGATTTCAAGTGGAGAGTTTCTCTATGTTTGAATTCTATGTTTCAGATTCACCTTTTCACTTATCCTGCAGCAGCAAACCGGTGACAGTTCTTTAACGCACTAACTTCCTCTCTTAGGCCCAATTCCACAAACATATGCTAAACTTTAAGCAAGAGTTTAAAATCCCTAACTATTCAGCAAAGCACTTAAATTTAAGCACATACTTAAGTGCTTTGCTGAATCAGGTCATTATACCAGTTACATCCCCATTTGCCCTAAAGCAATGGTTCTCAACCAGGGGTTTGCATAACTCTGGGAATACGCAGAGGTCTTCTCGGAGGTACAACAACTCATCTAGATATTTGCCTAGTTTTACAACAGGCTACATAAAAAGCACTAGCAAAGTCAGTAGAAACTAATTTTTCATACAATGACGTGTTTATGCTGCTCTATACACTGAAATGTAAGTACAATATTTATATTCCAATTATTTTATAATTCTGTAGTAACAATGAGAACGTAAGCCACTTTTCAGTAACAAGTGTGCTGTGATACTTTTGTATTTTTATGTCTGATTTTGTAAGCCAGTAGTTTTTAAGTGAGGTGAAATTTGGGGGTACACAAGACAAATCATACCCCTGAAAGGGGTACGGTAATCTGAGAGCCACTGCCTTAAATTTAAATATGATACTAATGGAGCCAAATTACTTTTAATTTATTACTATAACAAGAATTAAGAGTGTAGCAGGAATGAGATAGGAACACTGTAAAGCAAGTTCTGACAAGATAAAGAAATTGTGCAGTTGCATAACTTGCATTATGAACATATACAACAAAGTACTATACTAAAATGTACCTTCTTCTTTGCAAATGCATACTTCTTTCTCACACTGCTATCTGATTCTGCTTTGAGTTTGCTTTTCGCTGTCAAAGGAAGAGGATCTTTCAAGTCCAGATCTGGAAATCTTAAAATACAGCACTCCACTTCTTCTCCTCCATCCAGCAGCACAGAAGGAGGTATCATTGCTGTGTCCCTGCAGTTAGGCATAAATCCTGTTGTGTGATCTAGGGAAGACGCAGGCAAAACACAGATTTGTATATATTCTGATCAAACATACACAGCAAACAACATATCAATATTATACATTCAAAATAATAAAAGCACACTAGAGACAGACATTGCTAAAGGCAGTCTTTGTCTTCGCAGCCTTTGTCACTGCCCTACAACAGCAAAAAAGTCAACCAGCAGCAAGCCTTAATCTTTTAAGAATTTAATACTATAAAAACAGTGTTCACAGAAGTTACTAGATAGCTGTCTGGAGATCTTTATGACAGGCTTTCAGAGACAGAAACTTTCAACTAAGTTCAGAACAGTAAGTCCTCATGATCTCTTCCTATCTCACAAACTTTGCTGGGTAGCGGTATACAGAAATAATCATGGTTTCAAAAACCCTGACCAGTTCATTGGAGAGTGTGACTGATCCATATGCTAAATACTGCATAGCAGGCTATGGATTTCCCTCTTCTCTCTGATCTTCCCTGGTAGGCAGATGGTTCAGCTCTCTCTGTACTGGAGGAAGCATGTCTCATCTCACACCTCTATCCTGGAAACACTTCACTTCAGGGACAATTTACAATTCACAATACAATTCACAATTTTACAATAACTATACTGACAAAATAACAGTTATGAACTGCTCATCTTGATGGCGTTACTATTTGTACCAGTAAACCAGAATCATGTAAAACTACTACAATGAGAGAGAGAGAAATGTGTCATATCTATGACACCAACATGCATGTACTTCTTGTGTCTCTAGCCTCCTTGTGTCCATCTTGCTCCTCTTCCAGAGCTTTCTAGTGGAGTGCAACAAGAATTCAAGTTTTGCCCTCCCAGGGGATGTTCTGTACCATAGGGGACTTTCACGACACACGCAGTGTGAAATGCATTCAGTAGAGTTGGCCAGAAAAGGGAATTTACATCCAGCAGGACATGGCAACATTCTGAAATTTGTTTTAGAACAAAAAGTCGAGTTTTTGAACATTTTCACAGAATGGAAATTCCAAATTTTTTTGATTCAGAACATTTTGTTTTTGATAATGTTGAAACACGATAGTATAATCTAAAATGTGAAATATAATATATAATATAGAAATATATTTAATGTATAATGTCAAAACAAAATATAACAAAACAAGGAAGTCATTATGAAATATTTTTACCTCACTGAAGCAAAATGTTTTGACATCAAATCAAGAAAGCCAAAATAATTTGACACTTTGCTGTTGAAAATGTACACGTTTCCCCAAAATCTTTTTAGACCAAACTGCATTTTTCAATGGAGAACTGTTTTGTGGGGGAAAAGTTCAACCAGCTCTATTTTTTTCAGTGAATAACATACATTGAACAGATTGTGAGACAGTTTTAAATTTCAGAGTAGCAGCCGTGTTAGTCTGTATTCGCAAAAAGAAAAGGATTACTTGTGGTTAGTCTCTAAGCTGCCACAAGTACTCCTTTTCTTTTAGTTTTAAATTTGTAATTCCATTTGCAGTCTGAAATCCAAGAGGCCACTCCCTGAATAGTGTGAACACTTTAAGGCAGGGGTAGTCAGTAAGGAAATAAAAAGATTTCGGGGTCTGTTTGAAAGCATCTGGTGGTCTGGATTTGGCCCGCGGTCCACCTGTTGACTACACCTGCATTGAGGTATCATCTGGTTCCTGGTACGATTCCTTGTTCGATTTTTACATGACAACGGCATGTCCACGCTCTTACAGGCAACTGACTTTTCCTGGGCCCTTGGACAGCTAATTCAAGATTTACAAAGCCCAGAGAGTCTCCCACACGGATGGATTTGCATGATTGCACCCAAACTATTAACAATGGCCCAGCTCCTCGATGGCATTTAGGAGCCCAGTTTCCAATCATTTCAATCAGAGTCAGGTGCCTAAAGAGCCGAGGGGACTGGGCCAGGAGCGTTTCTGTGAGGGCATTTCGCTCGCTGACCGTGGGCCGGCTGCGCGGGAGCACCCTCCCGCGGTGCGTGCCGCCCACCCGTGGGGGCCGCGCAGGAGCCAGGCAGCGCTCAGGCTGTCTGAACCCGCTGCGCCCGTCCCCAGGGGCACGAGGAGCAGAAATGCTGGCACCAAACGCTATAAGGCGTCATGGTTTAGTAGGGTTGCCAACTCTGACTGAAGCTATTCCGGGAGATGTTCCCCCCAACACCACACCATGTCGTTTTCTTAAAATCTCCTATTAAAATCTCGGGGATGGCGTTCGGTGGTCCCCGGGACATCGAAGCCGATCCCGGGAGGCTCCAGGCCAACCCCTGCAGTGAGCCCTCCGGCTCAGGCTGTCCAGGGGGTGCGATACTTGCCTCCGGCCCGGCCCCGCTCCTCGGCGCTGGCCTAGCCGGGGCTCAGAATCGGGCCCACGGGAGCCAGCAGGAGCGAAGACGCCGGCTTCGCTGAGGGCAGGATCGGGGCCTGGCCCGTGCGCCGCGCGGTTCCCTCAGGATCGGGCCCGGGGCGCGCAGAGGCGCCGGCCGCCGCTCCCAGTCCCGGCAGCAGGCCCCGCGCCCGCGCCGTCCCCGGGCCCAAGCCGCCCCGCCAGCCCCCCGCCGGCGCCCGCCGCTGTGACGGACCCAGGCTTCACGCCGCCCCGCCACGTCCCGTCCCTCCCCCGATTGCCCGAGCCCGGCCGACGCCTGCCCCGGGCTCTGCGCTCCACGCCACCCACCACGCCCCGCGCGGAGCGGACGAGCTGCCGCCGGGCGCTTTCCCGCCTTCACCGGCTTCGCGCACCGCCGGGTCGGGCGCTGAGAGCGCCTCGGGATCGGGCCCGCGGGAGCCGGGGGCGTCCGGGGCCGGGCAGGATCGGGCCCATCTTCCCGGAAGTGGGGGGGGGGGCTGCTGTTCCGCCCCGGAAGTGCTCCCCCGGCCCCGCCCGCCCCGGAAGTGGTTTCCCTGGCGGGAAGGAAGGAAGGAAGGGCGGGGTGTGGGCGCCCCTCTCCCGCCGCCCTTTGCCCCGGAAGCAGCTCGCGGGCGCGGCTGGGCGGAAGCTGGACTGAGACGGCGCCGCCGGGGCCTCTGCTCAGCGCCGCCCGCCCGCCCCTCCCCCGCCGCCCGGCCCCGCCCGGCCCGGCCCGGCCCGGCCGCCAGCATGTCGCGCAGGCGGCACAGCGACGAGAACGATGGTGAGCGGGGAGGGCCCGGCGGGGGGCGGCCCGGGGGGCGGGGTGCCGCGCTCGGCCCGGCCGGGACCCGCGGGGCTGGGGGGAAGCGCCCCGGGCCCGGCTCGTCCCGCGCCGCCTCCGAGGCGGACGGACGGACGGACGGAGCGGGCGGCGGGGGCGGGGCGGCCGCTGTGGCCGGGAGCGGAGCGTGTCGCGCCCCCTTTCCCGGCCGGGCTCTGGTGCGGGGCGCCGCCGCCCCCCCCACTCGCCCCCGCCCCCTCCCGCTCGCCCGCCGCGCCCCCATGGCTGGGGGGTTAGCGCGGAGCCTGGCGGGGCCACAGCCGCCGCTCCGTCGCGCGGGGCGCCTGGGAGAATAGGCCGCGAGCGCGCCGCAGCCAGGACCCGCCCCCGCACCCCCGGGGGGGGGTTACTTTGGTTTCTCCGGTGCGTGTCTAGGGTGTATCTCCCCAAAATGAAAACCTACCCTTAGCGATGCAAGCTGCTTTGTTAGAGGGCCTCCGTTCATTGCTTCAATAAATTGAGTTCATGTTTCTGTTTCCGGAGCATTAATTTGTGATCTTTAATGTTCTGGAAGGTCATTGCTTACAAAAATTAGGTGATTGCCAGTCCGATGGCATTGCCTGTTATATTCTCTTGATTTATGAAGTAGTGGACACAAGCAAGAACGTTACTTTTGCTAATCTGTTTCACTTACTGGCATAGCAACAGCAGCTTTGAATAGCATTATACCCTTTTAAAAACATTTTAAACTGGCTCTGCCTCCACCTGCTTGATGTATGTGGCCTAGTAATCTGCATCGGGATCCACTAGTCTAGACCTGTGCAAAACCTATCTGATGGCAGTGCGGGTGTGTATAGGCGGAGGGGAGTGTGCTAGCAGATTGTCATTCAGGAGTTGAATATGGTGAATCATTGTATAGTAGCCTCAGCCATCAATGTGCTGGCCCCAAACGTCCCCTTCCTCCCCATCACCACATAGTTTTTTGATAACCTGCTTTAGATGGAGAGAAGGTGGAAAACAAAGGCTGAAACAAAGAATTTCTGCCAGCCTATGCTGAGGCTGTGTTACCGACCACAAGAACCTTCCTCTCAGTCTCTGCTGAACCTGTCAAATCATGTTTTAAGGAGCTAAACCACTTGTGTGGGCTGTAGGCCCTCAGTACCAGCACTAAGCACTGTGAAGAACTAGCATTCTGCTTCACTGAAAAGGAGTGCACGCTTAGGATTTCTTCCCAAACAGCATGGATCTGCTGTCATGCCTGCAAACAAACAGGCAACCTCGGTTTCCCCATTTCAGTTGTATGTGCAGCTGCTAGGTAAATTGGTGAGATGACTGGATTCAAGTGCCAGCAATATGCAGATGACAACCAGCTCTACCTATTCTTCACTGCATACAGCCATGCCACTATCACCAAGATAGTCCAGTGCTTGGTGATACGTGAATAGCTGGCTGAAGCTGAACCCAAGCAAGACCGAGTATGATGTTCACTTTGGAGAATTTGCAGCCAGGGGGCGATCTTTTTGTTAAAGGTACACACTCACAACTGATCAGACTGTCAGTCTGTAGATTAGCGATGCTCCTGGATTCCTTGCTGACACTAATACGATATACCTGGACATAAAGCCATCAGTCCACCTAGCAGAGAACGCTACAACACAGGTTACTGGGAACACATTGAACTTGTCCTGCACTCTACAGTGGCTTCTTAGAGAATGTCACATCAAGGTCCTTTGTCTTGAAGGTGCTTAATGGCCTGGGCCCAACATGTCTAAAAGATCAGCTAAAAAGCTCAGGCATGAGAACTGTGGTTAACAGCTTCACTCCCTTAGCACACTAGAATTAAGAATTTTATTAAGATTATGTTAACCAGAAACTGTACCTTTTTTTTATTTTATAAGGGAATAAGGTACAGATTATCAAGGGGTATGAAGTTTGGTTTAGGATCAGATGGTGTAAGGAATACTTAATTTGCAATATCCCCAATTGGGGTAAAAAGTTAACAGGTCAAAGTACCCTCATATCTCAATGTCTGTATGTTGTTCATCTAATGGCTACGTTCAGGTGTGGAGTATGAGTGGATACGATGATGAGGATGGATTGACCCTCATTTGGTGAGATCTAATGTTCAGTGAGTTTATGGTTCCAGTTCATATGGTCCAATGGAAAAAGTCTCTCGGTCTTGTTCTTTACTACTATAAGGGGAAGATTCATCTGTGCAGGATGCAGACTTTCTCAGTAGCCAGTTCCAGGCTGGTCACCGAACTCCCATAGGAACTAAGGACCATTACAGACTTCACTACCATTGCTCTAGCTGCAAGGGGCACTATTTCCACCTTGCCTTCTCTACCACCAGTGTGCAGCTTTTAAAACAGATTAAACTCTACTAAAACAAAGTACACAGTATGTACAGTTCTGCCCCGGGGACATGGTGAGAAAATGAACCACATGTGATATCCATCAGTCATGTCGCTTAATGCCCTGGTGATGACAGTGTGATAAGAACATATATAGAATAGAGGCAGCTTTTGGGGCATATATGGTTAACTTGGTGCAACCCTACAGACAGAGAATCTACTGCTTTTTCTAGCAACATTTTCAGCTCTGACACGAGCACTGAGTTTAACTAAAATTGACTCCAAAAGGTCTTTAGTGCTTGCTTGCTTGCTTGTCTAGTCTTTTTTCCAAAATAAAAACCTTGATAAGTAAAAGGCTACATGAGCATCTTTGCTTAGGCATGTTCTCATGTTATCTTTGGTGCCAGATAATCCCATATGGTACTTCGGATGAGCAGTACTTAGGTATTGCTAACTCTATAACATGTGTTTAACTTCACTCTGCATGTACCACCAATACTGTATCTTGCCACTTTAGCAGAAATACACTTCCAAAAACTTTTTTCAAATAAGAGGGTGAAAAGGACTTGAGTAGCTGTGAATAAAATGTCTACAGAAACTGGATATGTTTTAAATAATGTTAGCTTTGTTTTTCATGTTTGTTGGATTTGTCTTAAATAATGGCAATACCTGAATGTCTTGTGGGTAGTTTTTTATTATAGTACAGAACTGGAACATGAGCGGAGGCTGACAGAATTATTCAGAATTTTTTTTTAAAAGCAGTCAAGGAATTATTTAACTGGTATTCTTGGTTTCATGAATGTATTGAAACAGGAGGACAACCTCACAAAAGGAGGAGAACGTCTGAGCCATCTGAAATTGAAGAGAGACTGGAATCTTTAATATGCAGAGTGGGAGAGAAGGTATGAGTAGCAATTTCTTATGACACGTTGGGCTATTGGTTTTGAATCCTTGGATGTAAGAGTTTATGCTTCTGAGAGAGCTCTGTCTACTACAGGGGTGGGCAAACTTTTTGGCCGAAGGGCCACATCTGGGAATGGAAATTGTATGGTGGGCCATGAATGCTCGTGAAATTGGGGGTTGGGGTGCAGGAGGGGCTGAGGGCTCTGACTGGGGGTGCGGGCTCTGGGGTGGGACCAGAAA